ACACAGGCTTCTCTGTGAACTCAAGGACATTAGCAGAGCCTGTGTGTTTGTGTGTGTCACCCAGTCTGGAGAGTCTACAATAAATGAATGTAATTACCTCCATAATGACAACAACCAAAACAACAGCGATAATGTGCTGTCATAAATCATTTTACAATATTCTAATGTCACCCAGTGGTGCAAAAAACACTCAATATGATTTCCTGGAAAGTCACAGTTTTCTTAGAAGAAAGTCGCAGCAGAATAAAAATAACTACATCTAAAGCTCATAAACTGCTAATTATGGCATGTGCCAGATCTACTGTCTCACAGGAGTGTCTTACCTGACAGTGGGGTATTGGGTCCTTCGGTGTGCCGTTACGCCGAGCAGCTAGAGCCGGCAGGAGGGAGGTCACACTTCTCCAACGTCCCAGGAACAATGGGCTGTTTTTTCCTGGATCACTGTTGCATCCTCACCACCGCCCTCCCATTGGTCCGCAGCGCCTCACCATTCATCGAGGCAGGAAGCTGTGACAAACAGGAACATTTTCAGCCAATCAGGGGTGCACGTACCGAGGTGACTCATTTTCAAAGTCACTTTTTTTGATTAAATCAGTGTTCTCATCTTTTGGCAGAAAACGTCATTTCACACACACACACACACACACACACACACACACACCCACACCCACACACACACACACACACACACACACACACATGCAAAATGTCTGTTTGAACAATGAACTGATGACTGTTTATGTTATCATGAGTCAGTAGCTCAAATGGAAATTTACTTGGCTTACATGACCCACAATGACCCATATTCTGTCATCCTCAACAATGCCACAAAATAGCATTTAAGTCATCTAAAAACCTAGTAGTCAAAAGTAGTCCAGATTGTCAACTGCACAGGCACGCGGTACTGTAAAAATGTTTGTTAGAAGGTTTTAAATGCAACATAGTACAACCACATGGAGAAGTCATCGGCTGAGGAGTCTCAAGATTTGTACAGAGAAAGTTTAAGTCACTCAGAACCTTGGAAAAAAGAGACATGTCAGCCACACACGTCCACTCATTATAGAAGCAAAGACAGACAAACACAAGCCCCCACACAAACTAAACAGGACAGAGTGTAATCAGACTACCAACCACATAAACATTACCATGTGTGCACAGACAGTTTTCCCTCCATTCTGATTCACTATTACAACTCTTCTCCACATCGTCCAACACTCTGGACTGATCTTTCTATAATGGACACACACTACAGTATGGATGCTGTGCATGCTGCACTGAGTCATACAGCCCCTACAATGCTGACTCAGACGGATCGCATCATGTCACCCCCTGGTTGCGATACACCCCGACCTCTATCATCCCCCTCTTTTCATCCCACTTAAGCTCTGCCTTTCTTTCTGTTAACCTCTCACTTCCACTCTACCGCCATGCCCCTGTTACGCAGCTGATTGTCACATCACTGTGAACATCACCATCATCCTCTAAAATACCGAGCATTTATCTGTTTGCAGAAACTTGCCTTCGTAGTTACATTTACACAAATGAGAGAACACAGATCCCCACAAACAAACAAGTGGAGAACAGTCACGTAAACAAATGCAAATATGAACCAATTAAAAATCATCACAAGGCTACACTCACCCCCTGCAAGCATCAGGATACAAAGCAGCAAGTGAGTTTGCGTCCGATCTGTATGCTGCTGAGTGCGTCTGGCTCAGTCCCTGCCTTTGCTTCTGTCTACTTTTGCCTGGCGGGCCTCCGAGCTGCGAGCATGTGTATTTGTGTGTGTGTGTCTGTCATTCCATTCCTCTATCACGTCATGCCGCTCTACTGCTGCCGCAGTACGCCTGCAGCCGTATCCCCGCCCCTCTCTTTATTTTTTCCTCCCCTCATCACAATCCCTATCTCTCTCTCTCTCTCTCTCTCTCTCTCTCTCTCTCTCTCTCTCTCTCTCTCTCTCTCTCTCTCAGTAATGGACCTGTTGGCTGTGCTCCCTCCCTCTCTGAGGTGAAATATAAGCCCAGCAAAAGCAGAGACAGGCTGGTCCATTAGCTGGATGAGTGTGGTTTGTGTGCCTGTGTGTGTAGGAGTATACTCACACATGGCCTGGTCTGTTATAGTGTGAGTAATACATAGTAATTAAGCAGATGTAGCCACAAATGTGAGAAGCCCAAACCCGTCATCCGGCTTTCGAAGTCTAATTGGCGGTCAGGGAAAGCAGGATGAAAAAAAAAACACTCAGTATGCTTAAGATAGATCCACTGACAACAAATGACAATGTGCATAAGCACACACAATCACACACATACATGTGATGTCTACATCTGTGCCTGTACTCTGTGAGCATGCCTGCATGAACCAGCACCCAGATGGAGGAACTGCCCATCGATCACTTCTGTAATCTGTCCCATACCTCTAATTAAAGAGGAAGAAGGCAGAGTGAGAAAGAGCAATAGGGCAGATACAAAGGAGGAGAGGGGCTGGACACAAAAGGGAGTGATGGAGGAATTAACATGTACAGAGTTAACCTTCTATTGACGTCTATTCCCAGCTGACAAATTGAGAGTAGCGACATACAACCCAGATACGACCTTGAACTCAGCTTCTCCGGTCTGTCTGTTCATCCTAATCAACCGCAGACTGTAAAAATCTCATCTCATGTAGCTAGTCCACTCGAAACATTTGATCCAATTTACAAACTGAATATATTCAGAATGCATTCGTTTTTTTTAGTTTAATAGAAAAGAATCTGGTGATTTGTTTTTGCTTTTCGATCTCTGTTCTCTCCCCAGCCACTTTCTGTCTTTCTCTGGGTGTCAGTCTCTTACTCTCTCTCTCTCTCTCTCTCTCTCTCTCTCCATTTCTCCATCTATTCCCTCTTCTCATATTTCTGCTGTGCTGGCTTACAGTTTGACACACTGACATAAGGGACAGTGCTGAATATTTAATGAAGATTGTGATACACAACAGGATCAGACCCATAAAATGTGTTTGTAATGCTCCTTTTTTACACTGTACATTTGGTAGCTTTAATGAGGGTTAAAGGGTTATTTTCTGAGAATGTAAACTTGGTTTTCTCTTAATCATGGGCTTGTGTGCTCATAAGTCATTGGACAGTCTTGATCTTGCAGCAAAGAAAAGCTCAAGAGCTCTCTGCCTGATCACATATTGATCAGGCACTGACCGGCTGTGCTACCACTCAACTTGGTCTGCAAGTCTCCATTAAAGAGATACATAAATAATGGAAAACGTGTCCCCCTCAAACTGCAGTATGCAAATAAATACATCAACTGATCAACCAACCATGAAAAATTGATAAATGCTATTAGGACGCAGCACATGGCCTAACAAGCACAGCACCTCCCCCACACATACAGTACAGAACATATGCATACTGGACACTGGAACCCCTTCCCTCTTATTCCCACACAACAAACAACATGCAGTACAGTATGCCCTCTATGCTGTAGACCACAATCACTTAATATCTCACCTCTAAATACTCACATTGATGTCAAGGCTGCTCTTCTGTTCAGCTCCCAATATGGGATTAAAATGTGTGGCACTCATGCAGAGCAAACACTCCAAAGTCAGCCACAAGCACAAAACACACTCACATGATCTGTTGCTTTGTCTCAGTGGCTCTGGAAACGGGAAGTGACTTGTAACAGAGGGATTATGGGTAGGAGCGTGCAAGCGTCTGTAAAGAGTGTGTGTGTGTGTGTGTGTGTGTGTGTGTTGGGGGGAGAGATTTAATGTCATAGCTAATCTTCTGATGTTCCCCAAGGCATATCCTCCCCCCATGAGACAGACCCTGACAGACGCTGTTGTGACAATGGGACACTTGTGTCACTGTCACCCTGAGCGGGGGCATATGGACAAATGGAGGGGGGGTATTCCAACATGTTGGCTGTCTGCAACATGGGGCCTCAGATGTGTAGTTTCACTGAGATGAGTAAAATAATTTAATAAACAAAAACACAACAGACAGGAGAAGTAATCATTATGAACAAACAGGAACACACAACAGGTTACTTAGAGGAAGTTACTGGTTCCCTTTAAAAAGCTGTATCTAATTACCACACTGCTGCTCAATCCAAAGTGCACTGGCATCCTGAGTTTGTCTCTCTGTGTGACTGTACCTCATGTGACCACACTATTAACACTGCAGTGCGTCAGAGTGACTCGTCTTACACTAGGGTGTCCCAGTTTGTTATGAGGCCAGGTAAAAGTAAGATTTCACATTAAAAAAGGTTGCATATCACAAGGCCAGAAAGGGTGTTAATGGCACTGAGAGGAACCAGACCTGCTGTTGTCAATTTCTAGTATCAATACTTTTCAAAATCTCAATTTGCAGCCAGAGAGCAGTCACCATTGCTGTAGCGGTTTAGTCCTGTTTAATAACAACAGTATATCATTTCTATGTTTATCTGTATTGTGGTTTGTGGTGAAACACTAAAAATGACAGATTTATTTTGTCTGATATTTGTGTAAAATTACAGATACCATCCATCCATCAATCGATGCATTTCCCACCAGTTATGCAAATCTGGTCACATCAGCGGCACAATGATCAACATGTCACCAGATAAAGCGAGTCTTAATCGCACAAAGCCATCTTGTCATTATTTTTGGTTCAGTATTGTCTTTAACTGGGTATTCAGTGTAAGGAAAATAGAAGAAGTAATGCACAGTAATGCACAAATGAGTTCTACGAATTGTGACAAGGGCAGGTGTAATGGCAGCAACATTGGAAGCCTATTCAGATTCATTTTGTAATACTTATTTCAACTGTTTGATCTAGTCCTAGTTGCAACCAGTTAGTAGTACTCAAGCAGAATCTGTTGACTATCACCTTTAAAATATGCCCTTTAAAAAGTGCAGCTGCCTTAGGCAAAGATGGACTCCTTCGGCTTTTACAATACCTGTACTGACAAGTTAAACCAGCTTAGACTACTGGGAGTTGAAATTCCCACCTAGACCCAATGTCAGCACTGACAGCAAACACAAGAAACAGAGCACAGACGGTCACAGATCTTCACAGGTAAGCACAGCTGCAACCTTCTTCTGACTATTACTTGTTCTTCTTTTTCCATGTTACTCTCCAGGTCCTGCATTAATCTTTCTAACATAAGAGCGTATGAGTAAAATGCTAATCTAAAGGCACAGTGTAAATTGTTTTATTAGGTTTATTAATTATTGAGTCAGGTGGCCAAAATTACTGCATAAAGTTTACAACTTTGTTGATACAGCACATTTCAAAAACGAGTAACAAAGAGCTTTACATGCATAAATCAGAGCAAAGCAATTCAAATGAATTAGGAAACGTTTTAGTTAGAAACAAATGTATCCATTACCCAAAGTCAAACGCAAAATAGTATAGATTAAAAAGCTAATTTTCTAGCTAATGGTCAGATATAAACATGACTGTCTTCTGCGAGTCACAGCATACCTTTAAAATGGCAGCCCTGTAATTTGAGTTTCTAGTAAAGACTTGTTTAAAGATAGGAATGTTATTTACAAACAGTGGATCTGTTTACAGCCTTGGCCATTCAACCTATACTTTACTATCTATCCTTTTCTCTTAGATTGTTGGAAAGGACTGTCCATTATGATCGGGTCACTTCCGACAGAAATGGAAGAAACTGAAGAAATTTCAACCAGTACCACAGGTGGTACATGTTTCTTTAATCATATGTTTTCCTTTGTGGACACTGTACATTTCAAATAGTTCATATTTTATTTTCATATTATATTTTGTTTTGTTCTTTTTGGTCCTGTCTCAGAGTGGAGAATGGTGTCAGATCCAAAACAAGCTGGTTGGTTTTTTTCACAAGAGCTTCTCCACAGCAACAGAGATTCAAACAGCCTGTTTCTGAGAGTGGACATCAGACAAGACAAGGAGGAGCAAGACCGAGCTTTGGTCACATTCTACAACAGAGACAATGTTCAGTGGACATCACCACTTCAATGCAAACTTCAAGGTAGTCACTCGTGAATTAAAAAGTACTACTTTTAACTAGCAACAAAACCACCATTTATCTCAGTTAAGCGCTTTATGTAAAATGTGTTGCCTTACAGGTGATGTTGCAACAGGAAGTGGGGTCGACCGTCACATGATGTCAACAGTGATTTTCAAGCTTATAAGTGGATTCCATATAAACTTGGGTTGGACACAACAACAACATACACACACAACCACAATGTTGATTCAAACTATTTACCAAAGTCACGAGTTTACAAACAACTGAATATAAGAGATACCAACTTCACACTATTAAAGTCTATTCAAGTAGACCTTGATCCTTAGAAAATCATTGATTAGTCAATCGACAGATCATTAATTGCTAACTAATGTGATAATCATTTAAGTCCTTTATCAATTTATCAATGATTTTCTATGTCTTACACAACAGTACCTGTAAATCTTTGGGGTTGAACATCACCATGGTGATCTACATTTCTCTCTATTGTATGACGGTTTATAGACAAAATAATCAATTAACTAATCAAGAGAATAATCAAACATGAAAATAAAAGTTGCGCCCTTAATCGCCTATGATAACTTAACTTACACAGTGTACATGTAAGCATAAATACGCTAATCAAACACAGCTTGTATTGGTGGTAATTAACAGGGTTGAAGTTCAGTTCACATGTTATTTAATACATTATTACAGTTTCTGTAACTACTTATCATACAATAGGTTGGAAATTGTGTTATATTCTTTCCCCATTGGCAAATTTTATATAGAATCTTTAAGTTACACTATAAATAATATAGAAAAATTACCAACAGACCACCTATACTTATTAGAAACTTAAAAAAGAAAAAAGTTTATGTAATTATAGAGATGATTTCTGCTACATGCTGTTGCAACCAGTCTATGCTGTCATACAAACATAGTACATAGCAATTAATGCAAATGATCAGTATGTTTTTATTACTTTATAAGAAACTTGTTTGAGTATCATCTGCACATTCAATCATTTCTTTCATCTGACAAAACAAAAAGTTGTATCAAAATTTAATTTATTTCGTTTTTATTGGGCATCAAAAATAACTGGGTGTTTTCCTGTTATTATTTTGAGGTGGATAATTAAATAATCAAGCGAATAATTTTCTATATTTGATACTCAAAAAAAGAGGAAAAATCAAATATTAATTATTTAATTAAATAAAAAAAGAACAGATGATAGACGGGCCATTTATGTGAAATTTATACTAATGATAAGGTGAACTATGGGTCCAATTGAACAAAAAACAGAAAAAAACTGTTCTAATATCAAAATATAAAAGTATCAAAATCTGCACTTACAATTCTATATAACATACACTGACTATACTCTACTAAAATGTAATTGCATCTTCATTCTCTGATTTATTTTCTTTTTAGTCATTAGTCTTGTGATCTAAATCTTCTCTTCTCAATCTATCACTGTTGCAGGAAGTGCGGCCATCGTCAAAATCTTCGAGGGTGAGCCTGACCACCTCATCCCCTCAGTTTCAGATGAACTGCTCGACAATAACATGTTCACCGTAGCAGGCCGGATGATTGGCCATTCCTTCTTGCATCACGGCCCGAGTTTCCCAGGACTCAGCCCAGCCATTACTCATATTCTCTTTGGAGGTTCGTTGGAGACTACTCCTGTGACAGTACAAGACTGTCCTGACCTCGACATCCGTGACACTATGAAAATGGTGAACATGAAAAATATTGAGACTGCATTGTAATTTATTCTATGCATGCTGCATCAATAAAACGTGTATTTCATTATGTTTTATTCCAGCTTGATGGAGATGCCGAATTAAAAGAATTTGACTCCATCCATCAGCTCTGCCTGTCATGGGACCTGCCAGCTCCAAATGCCACCAACAGGAAATGGCTGTCTGAAAAGCTTCTCTTACATGCTGTAATGTCAAAATGTCCATTTATTCTACTTTAGCTTCTCAAATGATGTTAATTTATTCCAAAAAATTGTATTCCAAAGAGCTTAATTCATTCTTAATTTGTTACACTTTTTTTGCTTTTTGACAAACATATTTTTTGAATGAATGGCAGCCAAGCAAAAACTCACAAAAAACCCACTGACATCAGAAGAATCCAACAATAAATCTTCCTCATTCAACTCACAATCATCGAAAGCCAGAAGCCTGAGTGGCTTTTTGTATTTAAACTATCCATGTGACCTCACTCAGCTGTGTCTCAGATTTTCCAAGAGCTATTCTTTGGCATCAATTAAATAACATACATATGAAGACATTTAATCATTGCTTATGATTTATCTATAATGCAATGTCTCCTGTATTGCAGGTTATCGGGCAAACAAGGCGTCAAATCTATCAGTTCAGAAAAGGCTTAAAAGAGACAGGACTATGGCCACTTCTCATTCAGAGAAGAGACATCATTCCGATCCTGTTTCCCAGAGAATCAGAAGCACAAGTCACTCCTCAGGTACAACAGCAAAGGCATCTAACAGTCAACAACTAAGTCCAATGGGCAAAAAAATGGCCCTTACTCATGGTTTCTTGGAATTTTGACAATTGTGCTGAAACAAAAAACTGTGAGAAAGGACAAATGTGCACCAAAAGGTTCAATGAATTACAAATAACTACACAAAGAATGCTCCCTGATTTGTTACAGTGCCCCAGCGTTAAATACTACATAAACTTTCTTGATTTTGTTGTTGAATTACCTTTCCTTCACAAAAACTTAAAATCCAAGTTTATTGTTCTAAGTAAGAAATAGTCCATAAACAACAATTGTCGAGGAGTTCAGATTCAGTCCCATAGCACTGTAAACTGCACCAATCTCAAATATGATTAAATACAGCTGGAGTTACATGTGATTTCAGATGCTCTTGGATTGCATCATATGGCCATCATCTATAACTGTCACCTTTGAGAGCTACGAAGTCAAAGATGAAGATGAGTCGGATGCCATAGATGTATCTCGAGTATCTGGCTACTTGAAAACATTTATTGATAATGGTATGTATGACTATTGTAGCTATAATATTTTTGAAGAATGAAGCCTCATTAACAGATGCTTTTTTTTTAACACAGCGTCTCCAGCTGAGCTAAAGAGTCTCGTAAAGTTCTGGATAGGATGGGAGGTGCCAGCCACAGAGATGAAGGTGGAAATAGTAGAGGCCACATTTCCAACAGCTGCAACGTGTTTTGAGAAGCTGAGGCTGCCAAGGCATCACACAGCATACAAAACATTTCATCAAGATTTGTGTACTTGCATATCAACCAGTTACAGCGGTTTTGGCTGTGCCTGAAGTGGAATAATGTTGAATAATGTAGTGACAACCATCATGTTTAGGCTGACTGACTTTTATTTCCCACACCGACCATTGTCTTATGACATATACCTGACTGAAGGTGGAATTTCTGTGATTTCCTTGCCTGTTCACATTTATATTTAATCTTCTGTGGCAGCTGTCTGAAAATGTATTAATAACTAGACACTTTTTCTCTTGTATAAAATCTTGTATATTGATTCATTGCCTTGAAAATACAATGCCCTGCAGTAACATTTTTGTCTTGCACCCACCTGAATATTTCTGTATGGATGTGCACACACTTGGTCCCTCTCAGCAACTCAGCAATTTAGGACAAGACAGTTTTTAAAATTTTTTAAGACTTTGCACAGCTACAAAATGGATCCACAAAAAGCTTTATACAACTTATTTTAAATTTGCAGTAGTTCACCCCCAGACATGTAAACGGACTTTGACGTGTTTTTCTTTTTTTAAACAAAAATGCCAAAATAATCTATGGCACCAGCTCCTCGGGTTTCAATATTTGTTTGAAACATTTTCAGATTTTTTTATCTTAGAATATATTTAGGTTTTGGCCTGTTTGTCAGAAAAAGCTAAACATCTGAAGATGTCACTTTGGACATTGAAACTGTGACTTTCCCTATTCCAATTAGTTGGAACCCTGAATTCAAACAGTTTTAAATGTGCTGGTACTGTTAATGCATATACAGGTCAGTATGAAACTCAGGGTCAAGTTTAATGTTTGTATGTAGGGCCTTCTAGCTTTTCTATTGGGAATCAGTACCCACAACAACCACATGATGGTAGCAAAGGTCAACCATTGAATCCACTCTGGTCCTCACTCCATTTGTATTTATGCTTTCTCATCCATTAAGCATATCTGAGTGACCTTTACCAGCTAGTCCCTAAAGGTCATTTAAGGTTGAGGTGATAAAGTGCGAAGGCTGGAATTACTTTGAGATTGCCTCCTATTTACTGTGTAAGAGGAAAAACAGCTGATTTAACATTTGACTCTTCAAATGTATTATCTGTTAAAGGTTAACCTCTAGGCAAATAAAAAAAATGTGTGACACATTTGCTGGCTCATAAGATAAAACATGGACTAGAAGAAAAAGAAATTCTGAAAATAAGAAGCTTAAGAGTCATTCAAGTTCATTCTTCATGGAGTCAACCGGAAGGTTATCAGTGTATACACTCTTTCACCCATTCTTACCGCTGCTTAAAGAAATATAGCAAGAAAACAATGTTAGGCAGATCAACAGATCCTATTCTCAGGTTTGCATATGTTACAATACAGGAATGTTGGCAATTTCAGGACTGGTTTAGGCTTAAAGACAAAGACAGACAACTGTCAACACTAATACACACAACATAATAACACTGGGGTTCACCCAGTTAAACAGGGCTGACTGCTTGTTGATTGTCCTGTAAATCTCTTGTATGGGAGAGAAAGTACCTAAAATGTAGGAATTTGGGCTGTTGAAATGTAAATGCTCTTGCATTTCCCTAACTCTTCTACTGTACAAGGCAGTACAGCTTTTCAACACAAGTTCCCTCCCCATTCACCCTTCTCTCTCTCTCTCTCTCTCTCTCTCTCTCCCTCTCTCTCTCTCTCTCTCTGCAAGTCAGTCAGAAACTCGCCTGTTCCTCAACACGCAGTAAGTTTGCAGACTGAAGAGCAACAGAAGAAGCTCCTCCCTTTCAGCACATCTGGAACAGTGGAAGAGTGGAGCGGCACATACCAACAATTCTGTCTGATTTGTATCACTGGATAAACCAGGAAAAAGTCTTACACTTGGGTTAGCAAGTGTAAGACTTGTTAGCAAGTCTGGAAGACTACAAGTGCAATTCTTTCACCTAACTTTGGACTGCTGGTTTCCTGAACACACCCCAGTGTTGCACTGACGCTACTCCGTTCAGGGAGTCAAACTTCAACCTGTCCATCATCACTGACTGACAACACCTACGAACTTCAGGTAAGCAATATTACCGTAGACTGATTATGCTTCCTGCTTTTTGTTTGCATCTCACTGTATCTTATTTCCTACTTGTTATGCCAATGCATGATGGGAAAAAAACTCTACTGCTGCAACGTACATTTATTTTGCAAATCAGGGCAGAAACTCCTTTGTTTGAGCAGTTATCATGCATTAGCGTTTCCTCAATGTGTGCAGTTAAACAGTAACACAATGTGGACAAGAAAACACAATACAGTATGTAAAGATCTTTATGCTCTCGGGTCTGGGCAACAACAAAGTATTGATGTTGATATAGAATATATTAGAATATCTATTATTCTAATTATATTCTATGAATGGTAACTCTTACTGATATTAATCTCAGCCTGAATCACACAGATGTCACATGCAATCACATCTACATCATGAGCGGACTTCCTGATTTCTACTAAGTTCACACTCCTTACTTCTCATTCACTCTGTATTATTTATGCATTCCTGTACAACTGCATGTATCCACATGTCTAAACCCGCAGAGCCACCGTTATCAACCATGTACCCAATGTAATTACTCTATTACTAGTTACTTTTTCTCATCTCTCTGTGCATTTCAACTCTGCGGTCAGACCGCCAACTCCGTCAGTCCCGTCATTACCTGTCAATCCTGTGAGATGACTTGTCAAACCAGTCAGGGCATTAATCAAAATTTAAAATAATATTGACTAACTTGGCTTTAATTTCTATTTCTCACCTGTTGTTTCTCACCTTCTGCCTTACATACATGTGTCATGGAGTTGGGAGTCATCTTCACATCCTGGCACTCATGTCCAAGCTTCTGCCTTCTTTTTCTGCTTCTCATTGATTGTCTTGCTTCCAAAAATGCTGTAAAACATCATGGAAGAGTTAGAACGTTATTTGAGACTTCTGATTCACCACTTGAAGTCATATTTTCCTAGTTGGGCTGCTGGAAAGCTCTAAAACGATATTTTTTCTCTACCAGTGCCTGGTACAAATATATTCCTGACATTTCTGCTTTTACTGGCACTCGTGTTTGTTTCCAGGACTGTAGAATATACAAACTGCAAGCCTTTACATAAAATAATCCTGAAAATACCAGTTGGTTTCTGTGTGGCTGTTAATATAAATTATTTCCAGCTGAACATTAACAATCAAGGTCTTTCACTTCTCTGTGTTTCACATCCTATTCTTCTTCTCCCTCAGCACGTCCCTGAACTTTACTCAGGTCAGCGTTCTGTAGTTGTGTTAGTCAGTTTGTGACTTATCCACATCGTTTCATTTATGTGAAGCATATCTCAGACAGACTAGCTGACCTGGATGGTAGAACTTTTATACTGTAAATGTGCTAGACAATGTGCAAAATAATTAATATATGATAATCCTGATAAATTGATATATTAGCCTTTTACTGTATTGTACAAATGATTCATATGCAACACTCACATGTATACTGAATGTACATTGCCAGGGATGATATTCACTACACACATCCCAGACATACGGCAACTTTTCCTTCAGTCTGTTTTAAGATTTCTCTGTCTGGCCTTTGAATAACCCCCCCAGAAATAATATAATGAAGGAAAGTCACAGAGCAGCAGCTGCCAGACACAAACTGCTCCACCCATTGTGAGCTATGATTTAATATCATACAACGAGATCATATTCACATTAAGCATCATTTAGGTGTTGGCAGTAAAGAAGCTATGTTTAATTTTGGGGTGTTGTATTTACTTTTAAAGAAAGAGAAAGAAACCATTTAGTATGGCCAGCCTTCTCTGTGTGAGTCACAGGATCATATACCATATACTGTATTTCATTTTCTGACTTGCTTTAAAGAACGGAAAGCTCTGTCCTCTGGCCACTAGAAAAGCTGACTTCCTCTGCAACATATTTCCTGCCTGATAAAACAAACCTACAACTCAGATTAAGAGAGGCAGTCTACAGAATGGGTGCTGAATGAGACAGACAGGCAGGGGAGTAGATATGTGAGTCAGGGGCTGGGAGGTGGGAGGGTTTACACGGTCTGGAATGTGGATGTGGATATGCAGGAATGGACAGGGAGGGTCATGCTGGGAAACACACTGGGTAAGAACAGGCAGGATGCAAGGGTTTTTTCACATCCCACCAACTTTAATATCCTCAGAAAGACATTTTCACATTACTTCCACACTCAGTTTTAAAGACAGAGCAACTTTTATCTTTAGCAGATAAACAACAAAAAAGTTCTTGTATTTTCCCCATTGCTGGCTTGCTGGTCCATTACAGAAGCCACAGAATACTGGCAGGGGTAAAATTACAGTCTCTGGGACTGGCTTGCCAATGCCAAAATTATAGGCGGCCATATATAGATGTTTAAACGGGTTTCTTCCAAAATAAACTTCTTGTTAATGTTTTTGTTTGTTGTGTGAAGGAATTTATAAGTTCCTTGATCCATTTGTTATTCAATTTAAGGCCTGGTTCCACATGTAAATAACAGGACTTTAAACTGGGTCAAAGAAAATAACATTTAAACTCTTAATCTTTGTTACCATCTTATTCACTGTAAGTTATTCCTCTCTGAAAAGTAGATAATCACAGTCTTTGGGTCTTAATTAAATTAAAGCGCTGTATCTTTATGAAGAACTTCTGGACATTTAAGAGTCTTACATCACATTTATCACAGTGTGTGTATGATTGTGTTCATGCTGCATGTATTTATACAGGATGCCATTAGGAGGAGGGAACAAGTGTGGCCGCTGTCTGAAGACAGTTTACTTCGCAGAAGAGGTACTCTGTGACGGGCGGAGCTTCCACAAGTCCTGCTTCCTATGCAGTGAGTAAACTTTTTGCTGCTTCCTGTCATTGTCAATGTGGAAACCGCTAAACGTCTGACCGTTGTCACTTGTCATTACAGTTACAAGTAATACCCCAATGTGAACTGCTGGTTCATCTGTTGTAAAAGAAAAGAGAGGGTCTCTTATGAAACCAACTTTTTGATTCTCAGAGGCTGACACTTGATATTTAATGTAAAGAAAAAATTCCACTACAGCTGCTATTTGTAGAGTCACATCATACGTTTTTTGTGTGGGCAGTTACCCATAGGCAACAAACAAACAAAAGTAGACCAATAATACAAGATAATCCACCTACACTTACAAAAGTGTGAGGACGGATTTTTTTTTCCTCATCTTAAAATAAGAAAAATGCATCATAACTGTTTAAAATGAATACCATTATGTAGAAGTTTTTTTTTAAAAATACATTTAAAAAAAACTCTCTCAACTTTAAAAATATGTAGGTTCATAGTGTTCTCAGTGGAGTTATTTGTGTTCCTGTAATCAAACATTCCTGTGAAGGAATTCAGATAAGAAAATGTTTCTTCAAAAGACCTTTTCCATAAAAGGAAACAGTTAAGAGCCATCCAAATACATGAATCTGTTCAAAAAACATGCGCAAAGATATGCAAAACAATAATATACGTACATGTGTTTGTGTGTGTGTGCATGTGAATGTGTCTGTTTGTGCAGTGGTGTGTGGGAAGAACTTGGACAGCACAACTGTTGCCGTTCATATGGATGAAATTTACTGCAAGGCGTGCTACGGCAAGAAGTATGGACCAAAAGGCTACGGTTATGGGCAGGGAGCAGGAACCCTCAGCATGGACAAGGGAGAGTCTCTGGGTATTACACAAGAAGAGTGAGTAACACACAAACAAACACATTTTTTTATCTCTTTTTATGGCTCTTTATGCACATTTCTCTCTCTCTCTCTCTCTCTCTCTCTCTCTATGTCAGACCTGCTCCTCATCGTCCTACTAGTAACCCAAACCCATCCAAGCTGGCTCAGAAGTTTGGAGGATCAGACAAGTGCCCTCGCTGTGGCAAGGCTGTCTACGCTGCTGAGAAAGTGATTGGAGCTGGGAGTGTAAGAAAAAACACACACATACACAAATGTGCATGCTTTCAAAAGTACAACCCTTTTATGATGTATCTTCTATTTATTTACAGGCATGGCATAAGTCTGGATGTTTCACCTGTGCAACATGTAAGAAGAGCCTTGAGTCAACCACACTAGCTGACAAGGATGGAGAAATCTACTGCAAAAGTAAAACTTCACTGTCTTCACTTCCCATACAAGGATGAGTTATAACTAAATTATCATATTGCTGTGCAATCACACAGAAGCTCGGTATCTGGTACTACACAAGCATTCTTCAATATGCATTTAACCTGTTCATACCATACTGCTGCCATCGGTTAATATCTGGTTGTCACAATTAACACAAGACCTAGGTCAACTGTGGTTCTATACAGATCACCTAAGCACACAAATATACCAGACCTATTATAAATATGTTTTCTAAAGTTGTGGACTTGCACATGTGCAACCATACTCAAGTTCACTCTAAGATTTCATTTGTGCTCAAGAGACCAAGAAATTGCATCCAAAAAGATATCTATTATAAGGTACTAGTCACCCTATAGTAGTTTTACTGTATAGTAGTCTTCTGTTAGACCTGTTTTCAAAGCTGGTCCAGAGTGGTGAAGCCAGGCAGGATGACCCATGTTGATCCATTCAGACTGCCTGTCTGAAGGAGGTATGATAAAGGTGATGCATCATCAGCACAATAACACAATGTACACAGTGGGACTGTTACAAAAGCAAAATTGAAAATGCTAAACTGGAAAGTAAAATCCAGATTTCCAGTCTTAAAAGAGAGAAAACACTTCTAAACTTTGCACTAAAAAAACATTGAAGTTTATCTTTTAAGACTGCAAAGTTGGTGACTGAGTTGTAATAACATAAGAATACTGCAGAGGGCCCCCTAACACAGAGAGATTTCATCCACAACAATAAACAACATAAGCTTGTTCTGATAGTTAAACTTTATCTTTTAAAGGTTTTTGTTTGAATAAAGAACATACTGATAATTTTAGCCTAGCACTCCACAGACCAGACATTATTGAAGCAGACTCCTCTGCCTCACATAGCATGAAGTGTTGCTGCCACCTGACCTGCTTTATCATACATTTTTACAAACTAATCTGGTGTATATTTTGAGATTTTATGCCAAGCCTAGTTCCGGACATTTTATCCTTCATATATATATATTAAGGATATCACACATCACTGAATAGTCAATGAATAAACCCTTTTCCCTTTTGACATTTTACCTGGAAACGACTGGAAAAGCACAGTTGGAATTCTTTAACAAGTCAAACTGTCCACTGTGAAAAGGCCAACAATGACAAAATATATTACTGTGGCAAAACCAATCTTTAAATCCAGAATTCTGACCATCCACAGACACTTTTCTGGATGTACTAGCCATATAGCAGGCTGAGGCAGTGACCACAGACTGTTAAAATAGTGGATTTAAAAGTTGATTTCCCCACACAGAAGAATTTTAAATTTCAAGGTAGACAACGGACATGACGGAAATACCTTTAAAAGGTACCATCGCCATCTACTCTGTTTTTTATTTAGTAAAGGCATTTTGGACATTTCAATGCACTTAATGCACAGGTATAATTAATAACATTAATTATGGCTTTACTACATTTAAGTGAGCCACTTCCAGGGTTTTAGGCTTACTGGAGAGCCATGTTAATGGCTCTGGTCCGTCTGCTGTGTGGAAAATTAGATATGTTGTTTGCTGCACACGATCAAATATTTTTAACTTGTTTCCCAAGTTGGATATTTCAAGGAAAAGAAGATGCTGAACTATAGCCCCATTTGTAACCTCAGTGCTGTGATTCGGTCACACATTTCCCAGCGTGTTATTATTACTATTTTTTTTTTACCTATCATCCAACAGGAAGTTATATCTTTAAATACATCATTGTAATAACAGACAGTATATATATAATGGACAGAGCTTCCAGGTCTGTAAAGTGAAGCCAAGTGTCTTAAACCTGCATTGTATGTAAAGGCCGGCAGGGGGAGCTCCACTGACTGCAATGATAAACGATACCATGCACTCAAAATGCCTATTTCTCATCTAAATTGTTTCAGAAACTTATTTTAGGATATTGTTTAGCTGTAATACCAGATTGTTTCTGGCTCCGTCAAACCGTCATGGCGACGACCGTAACGGCTACGGTCTAGAATAGATAAGTAGAATAAAATGTTTACATATTTCAAAGTGGGTTTCATACAGCGTTAACCTGAAAGCTTTCACCACAGTAAGAGGAGCACAAACGGAGGATAGGTCGCTCAGAAAATTTACCTTCAAGAAAAACCGTAAGCTGCTGGTTACCCCGGTAACCTGATTTTCTCTCTGCTGAAGTCCCAAAGCTAACGTATATAACATAGCTTTGACCCTAAAGACATGCTCCAGCGGGCTCCAACTGTGGTCATCTTGGGGATATGTTGTTGTTACAACAACGTGGAGTTTGTTTTTTAACATTACCTTTCTTTCCAACAGGCTGTTACGGCAAAAACTTTGGTCCCAAGGGATTTGGGTACGGACTTGGAGCCGGGGCGCTGGCGCACACTCAGTAGAGACCACCGGGGCTTCGTTGACAGGTTTCCTGAATGCTGAATACTCTGCTCATCCTGCAGGGGGCAGACTGCTGCCAGTAAAACATGCACCTGACACACAAACATGCTAGATAAAAAGCCTGCATTATAATAAATTGTACACTTAAAGATAAAGATAACACACTCTTAGTCTCATGTAGGCCAAATGTGTTTTACTAGTGCTAGTTGCAGCAAATCTTGACACATAACCAACATGTAATACTAAAACAAAAAAAAAGAGCTATCTGTTCAACACGGCATTTTTTCATTCATTCTTCATATTGTGAGGCAATAGCAATAGTCAGTGTAATAGAGCAAGTGCTGCTTGATTGTATGTTATATGCTTTCCAAACAGTATGATAATGAATAAAATGGAAAGATCATGACTTTAGTGCCAATTTTTATTATTTGGTGAACAAATTACACAAGAACATGTAAGTGAAACTGTGTGTGCGTGTGTGTGTGTGTGTGTGTGTGTGTGTGTGTGTGTGTGTGTGTGTGTGTATGTGTGTGTGTGTGTGTGTGTGTGTGTGTGTGTGTGTGTGTGTGTGTGAGGAATAGGGAAGTAAACTAGTTTGGATGGTGACGTTGTGCATGTAAGTTTCAAGAAACAACCTGTGTTCATTGTATCCATTCTTCTCATAACATCACAGTGACACATCACAGTGCTGAGATGATGTGTCCAGTATCTTGTAAAGGTTGGGGAATTACAGCTTTCAATCCACCCACAAAGCTCGCCTGACACATTAGAGCCATGTTGCTGTCAGGGATGTGAAGAATGACAAAAAGGTTGTCTTTTTAAAATGCCATAATTAAGCTTTTCCTCATAGGAGGTTATTATAGTACAATGAAGTGAAACCTCAGACAAATCAGAAGAGCTTTGGAGTTTGTTGTGAAAATCTAACCAGTTTCTCCACTTAATTTACTTTTAACATTCAGTTCCATTTTACTGGTTTCAAACATGCCTGCTATTATTTAGGGATTAGTAAATATTGTTTATATATACTTATAATGTATAAAATATCAGAACTGGAACTATTTGGTAGAAATAATTAAATGAAATGGTTTCCAAAATTAAAAAGTAATTGACTGATTAGCCATTTGTTTCTCCCTGCTCAACAAAAAAAAAAAACATTTCTATCTTGCACTGTTTGTCTCTCACACTCACATATTACAACATTTGACTTCTTTATCCACCCTTTGCCTCCCACTCACATTCCAGCTCTCAACCAAGAGACAAGAGAAAGCAGCTTGTCATAAACACTTTTTCTGGAACATGAAAGAAAAGCTAAATGATTAAACTAACTTGTTTCTTTCTTTAAGGAATTTACAGGTGTGTGCCAGGTTTTCCTAAACAGGTGCACTGTGACATAACACAAGTCTTAGGTGGCTAAACCCACCTACCTGTGTTTCTGAACACACAAACAACGCACAGAGTACTGCGAAATCCAACTGTCTATACTTGCACTCACTGACTCACATACTTCGCGCACTCACACACACACACACACACACACACACACACACACACACACACAGACAGAGGCAGGGAATCTTATAAACAGCCCGGATCTCCTCCTGCCGTCACCAGGAGGAGGCGGGGTGCTAGTTGAAGGGGGGAGAAGGTCCACGGAGGAGCGGGGCATGTTCAAACATATCCAGGCAGACCAGCCTACCAACATCCACGGCGTGCTGTGCTGTCATTGCGCACAGATTGGATTAATACACAGACTCTATGAGAGTTTTTTTTTGAATTGGCTATTATTACTAATGCCACAGCTCGAACCGATGTGTTTTTCTGAGGTACACTCGACACCGGTAGGCTACAGGAACATATGAGATGTGTATTTAATGGATTTATCTTGAGACGTGCCGCTCCTGAAGAATTTCCAAGTTTCGGTTCTGTCTGGGAAAATTTGGGCTCAGCGTGGCCATGTCTCTCCCTGTCAAAGTGATGAGGGACGGACTGCTGGAGAAGCGCAGCAGCGGGCTCCTCCAGCTGTGGAAGAAGAAGCGCTGCGTGCTCACTGAGGAAGGACTGCGCCTGCACAACTGCAAAGGCGGCGGCGGCGGTGGCGGTGATGCTCCGAGCTCGGCGTGGAGCTCCAAAGCCAAGGAGCTCCGCTTTGATCGCATGGCCACGGTGGACTGCGTGGAGTACAAGCGAGGGCTGGTGTACTTCACGGTGGTGATGGCTACTGGGAAAGAGATTGACTTTAGGTGTGCGCAGGAAGGCACGGCGTGGAACGCGGAGATCGCTCTGGCACTGGTGCGCTACAAGAACCTACAGGCCGTGCAAACGGGACGGAACAGGCACCTGTCCACTGCACACCTGGGCAGCACTGGGGAGGATGAGGAGCTCTGATCTGGTACAGGTAAACCTTTAAATAGGACAGAAATAGGCAGGGGGCTGTCATCAAAATAAGCAAATAGGATTGAGATTACTTATTAATTCTAAATATATTTTGGGTTTGGGTGACAGTGAGGCACCACACCCTCCCATAACTCTAAGGTTTCAGCTTAATTCCCATTAACTGTGTGTGTCTGAGATTGACAGTCAAAGCATCACTTAAACACCTCAATGGTAAAGGTATACATGTCTTTTTTTCCTCCCAGCCAGATAATCTCAACCATTTGCCACCCAATCAGTGCAGCCACTGACTTTCACTGATAATCTCCCCCTCTGTGGTTGAAAGGGTGCTAATAGTATCTAGTTGGTGCAGTGATTGCATGGAATGAAAACATCCAGACTCTTGGGGATGAGGTGGCACATGACTGAGAAGCACTCAAGCCTCACGCTAAGCTTGTGCTAAAGATTATTTACAAGTACCACTTCAGTGTTTACGTGTTCCTCGGTAGAGTGAAAGTCAGTTTTTCCTTATCGTGGTCCCTGGCCTTTAACACACCATAGTCCAACACAAACCTACTCTCACTTGAGGACATAATTACGATGCAATGTGAGCCTCCAAAATAACATCTGCCTGCCTCTCCTTCACGAGGAAGCCAAGTATTTTTAAACACACACATACACATAAACATACAGCCTTCTCTTATGTATTTGACGGACATAAATACAACTGAAGATTTGGGATGACCAGAACCATACATTTTTTTCAGCTTTTCCACATTTAGGAGACAATCAGTGCCATCATACTGAAACTGCTCACTGAAATCTCCAATGTGCAGGAACTGAGTTTGTAAGTCTGAACTATGAGCTCACAGTCCAGGAATCCACAGCGATGCTTCCTTAAGAGAGCTGCAGTAGTCAAGTGCCCAAATTAGCTTAGTAGCCGTGGTAACAGTGTAACGTAACTCACTACAAATGCACTTTGTAGGACACCATCGGCTGCCCCCAGTGTCAAATATATAAATGAACAATTGAACATCAAAAATCTGCTCCTCTTTCTCCAGCCTTTACTTCTTGGGAGTGAACCAATCGGAGTGGACAAGGGTACAGGACACCAGATCCGTCGGCTCGATTCTGTGGTGCACAGCATGATGGGATGTACGGAACAGCCTTCAACGAATATGGATTAAAGGACTGAGACCAAGTGTCACAGACACACTTCTTGTCTTCCTACACAAGCTTATTCACGCTGTCATATAAAAAGCATAGGAATCTGATATACTCTATAAGCATGGATGATTTTTTTTTCTGTGACCTCACTGATCGAGGTCACTGTGGCGACCGCTGCGAAAGGAAAAGATGGCGTTATTTGGACAGAGAGGGAGGAGCTAGGACACTTTACCCGTTGTGCCTTGATGTTTCAAAGATATTTTCTATTTTGGACATTATTTCCTGACATTTTCTAGTCTTACTGAAACAGGAGTCACTTTGTTTCTTCAGTCTTGCTATTGATGGAAACACATTGCTGTTTGACTGGTTTTGAAAACTTTTGTTATAGACTGAACAGATCAGCATGTTTTTTCTAAAACTGAAGATGAAGAATATCTATTTTGCTCATATTCATTGCACATTGTATTCTATATATTTGCTGAAACCATGTACAGTATTAAATAGATCAAATAAATGTATGTCAGTAATCCTAAAGTGCTGACATATTTTTCTCTCGAGTTTCTATTTTTGAACAATGCTTCAGTTCTCTACACTGTAACATATATTGTCTCTTAGAGCCAAACAGTCAGCTGCAATTTATTTTAGGTTCAGACCATTAATTGCTAAGCTCATCTGTTTCCAGTTGTGGTGTAACCTTGCTGTTATAGCCTCTGGAAAATACACACACCCCAGACACATAGACACACACACACTTTGTGATTGCTCTCCTGCTCTTGCGTGTATGCTGAAGTCAGGACACCTTTTGTTCCGAGCAGTGTGCACTAATGAGAAGCACCGTGAGCCCGAGGCATGTGCACACAAACATCCGCCCACACGCATTCACCTACAGAAGATTACGTGCACACCCAGCATGAAATTCAGCAAGGCCTCAGCATCAGCAGACTCTCGTTAGTGAGGCCTTGCATATATTGTTCATTCAAGCATCTCTTGTGTGTGTCAAGAATATAGCAGTCTGTGTGTGCGGCTGTGGGGCTCAATGCAGGTCAGGAATAAAGGGCCGATTGTGTAGCAACTTCTCTCATTACTGCGGAAAACCCCAAAGCTAGCCACACCGCATGAGTCAGCAAAGGACCAGGAGCACTGCAAGCGGCGGAGACACCCAGTGATGGATCCTTGGTTTTAACATTGTATGTGTGAGTGTGTGTGGGCAGATGTAAATACGCAGAATACTGTAGCCTGTGTGATGGAGATCTGTGGTGGTGCAAGAGTGTGGTTCATTGGTGGTTGTGTGCAATAAGTCCTGAATCCAGTCTCTTCAGAGTGTGTGTGCTCACACTTCTCAGCGGAATGCCCTGTCTAAACATCATAACCTCTGTCCAGGGTATCTGGTTTTCTTAGCAGATAAACAGACACATACAGTGAATTTCATAAACCAAATCCTAGAACAGGGGCCGATATAGAGTTCAATGATTGTCAGTCATAACAACACTGACAATGCATGTGTGTACATACTTCTTTAAACAAAGACTCAAGATTACTCTTTTAAACATTTAGACATGTCACATTTTTCTTCTCAGGCCTTCACAAATGGAGCTGCTGTCTGCAGTGTGAGTGTCAAACCACTAGAGGTCTGTCTCTCTCCTGTTGTTCACTGTTGTTTGGCTATGTGTGTATCTGTGTGTGTGTGTGTGTGTGTGTGCGTGTGTGTGTGTGTGCGCGTGTGTGTGTGAGAGAGAGAGAGAGAGAGAGAGTGAGACTTCACTGTAGTTTTTTGCCAGTTCCTCTTGTAGTGCAGGCTGCTGTTTCTTTTTTGATTAATATCTTCTGTCTTGTGTATCTAATATGTTTGTGTGTGTTATATTCTTTCCATTCCTCCATCACATACTTTACCTCCTCACAGGTACATACTGTATAAACCTGAAATACCATATCACAGTGTGAATTATGTCATACTTTCTTATTTGTCTTTCTTGTAGAAGGTTATGTGAGCCTTTTAAATGTATATATGCAACATTCTCACAACATCCTTCTGGCATCTTTAAAGCAATGTATCTTAGCTTGAATCTAAAGAGGCTGAAGGAAAAAAAACTGCCATGGGAATTTGAGACAAAACAATCTTCAGAAACAGAACTCACCAGAAGTGAAATAAATGATTTATTTGGAACGTGTAGAAATTACATTTGTGTTAATCAAACTGTATGCCTGTCTTTTAAAAACTGCTAAGGTTTAGGACTCAAGAACCAGGTCACACTGTCATATTTATTGATTATATGTGAATCTGTGTGAAAATAAATTCCAGTAGGGATTGATCCCTACACGCTTGGAAGGCAAGCAATAGTTATTGAGTTATTCAATTAGTTGCAACCTGCAAGGTCGCTACTAGAGGCCACTAAATCCCAATCACTGGTCCTTTAAAGATGACATGACATAAGTGTTGATGTGAGACAACCGTTTTGCATGTGGTAGAAATGATTACAGGTTTTTTGTGGTGCTAGCTTGATGTTACTCCAAAAGGTTAGCTCCAAGTCATTGTTCATTCTCCTTCAGGTGTGTCATCATATTAAATCCATAAATTCTTTATCTTTATCACCAGCTTTTAACAAACTTAAATATTCCAACTTTCAGACAACACTGATGTAATTCAACTTCTAAAGGCACATTCTGCCTTGGATTTAGCCTTCATGGTAGAATGTCCTTCCAGGTCTTAGGTCTGTTTTACCCCTCTGTTTACAAGTATTACTGATGGAAACACACCTGTTACAGGATTAGAAAACTTAATAACTGTAATTGAATTGAGACTTGGAAGTATTAGCAAGTGCAACTTCTGTGTTCTGAGTTTTGGTACTCATTTGGTCACTCATCGTTATTTTCTTTTGGGTTACAGATGGGTTTGTTTGTCAAGAAGTTCTGTCTGCGAGGCTTAAGACAAGGCAAACATTTCCAAAGGGCCTCCCTGCAAGCATGTCTAGCATTTTGACTTGCCCTTCGAGGTTTAGGTGTGGATAAACATGACTGAGTGTCTACAGCCATGCCAGCGGCTCTCTAAAGCTGTACTTGGGCACAACAATATTTTGACCTAAATATTATTGTCAGCATGCTATTAGTCTCACATGACAATGTTAATTGCTAGTATAATGTTTGCTGTTTTAACCATCTTAATTTAGCATGTTAGTGTCCTAACATTTGCCAATTATTATTAACACAAAGTAAACAGCTGAGGCTGATGGGAATGTTTTTAGTGTTGGCTGTATTAAAGCACTGCATGTGGCGTGTCTTCTACAAAATGTACAAAAGTAGCATTCCATTTATGCTATCAGATGTCAAGGTATTTCATTTAAACAACAAAAATATAGACCTCAAGTTGGCTGTTCTGTCACAACACAGGTTTTGTCACGCTCTCTTTTAACAATCAGTACTATACTACAAACTGTTCTAAACAAAACCAATATTCACTAACCCTCACTACTTGAAAGTTTGACATGGTAGTTGTTGAGTATTGGAGCAAGATTAGAAGGTCTGTGAAGACCAAAGTGTTTTCCAAATTGAATTAATATTTTGAGAGAGTTAGTCACAACTCCATTGGTGATAAATGTGGAAGGCCGGGGGAGCTGGGAGGATTGTAAAATTTGTGAGGCTGCCTTTTCAAAATGAACCCAAGCAGGTAGATAGCCAGTATTAATACTGCCCATCCTATATGGGAATTTTATGTTTGTTTTATGTTTGCCCCTGTTGTGGAGGTGGGGCGCTGCCTGTGTGGCTTATCTGACATAGCTGTTTGTACATGGTCATTGCTGCTTGTTATGTAAAGTTTTACTACACCTGCCTCAGGAATTGCCCCTCGGTGATACATAAAGCTTTTTGAATTGCAATTAATTGAATCCCTAAACATTTATTTCCCCAAAGGAATTTGGACACTATTTTTGTCACATTTTTTAAAAATTTGTTTGCAAATGAGAACAGGAATGTGCTAAAAAATATATAAAAACTTGGGCAGGACAATCATTTTAAGCTTATTCAACCTGTCAATAACAAGAGCACAGATGACTAGCCATCAAAATCATCTTCTACTTTTTTTTTTTTTTTTTTTTTACCATTTTGTAACACTTTTTAATTTAGTTTTTAAATCCCTTCCAAGACCATGACCATATAAACATAAACTCCTGCCTATAGTTTATTATCTGAGTTGCCTTTATCATCCTGTGTCGTGCAAGGCCAAAGCTCCAACTGCTGGCCCCTGGTTTATAATGAATCTGCGAGAGACAAATGGACAGAGCAAGATTAGGCAGTAAGAGAGATGGGATTGACTAATAATAGCGTCCACTAACAAAAGAGAAGGAGAGAGTGAGACAATTGGGGGTGCAGTTAAATAGAGGAACACCATATTGTTGGCTGCATCGCTGATTTGTGCATCCTGCCTCTGCTGCTGTCGCATCTCTCTTCTGCTTCTGACACTGGTAAGGTCCTTTCATGGTGTGGTCTGTAAAGATTTTAAGGTGTGATGTTAGGGTTAGGCCTATTTCTTTGTTCTGTGCATATATGGTACGCAAACTAAATGGGTTACTGTTTGAATAGATATACATTTTTCTGGTACAACCATTTATTTGTTGAAAATTTGCCTCATAGACTTCCTAGACTTCCAAATTCGATTCAGGATCTAAAGGTTTATTGGTTGATACAATGGAAATGTAGCTGCCTTCAAACAGATACTGTTAATTTCTTTTAGGGGGATCAGTGTACAATACATAATGTAAACCCAGTCAATAGGGATGTTAGTAGAATTTAAAAGTGAGAGCTTAAAAGTGTCAATTGTTATTTTGTCAGTAGCCTGGTTTCATCATTGGGTCTGTGGCTGCATCTAAACCATAAGTACATTAGCCAGAATACTCTGCAGGATTATCAGTTGAAATAATACAAACTAGCTAACTTTAAATCTGTTCAAATCCGAGGCTGACGTGAACTTTCCAAAGCACCCTGGGTTGCTTTTTGAACTGCCAAGTTGGCTGCACCACAGAGGCTCATAATCATCCATGAGTTACTGGTGGTAAACCCCTGATCCAGACTGGGCACCCCAGAGCACAATCACCCTCTACAGCTGTCTCTCAGATGTCCCCTGGTCTATTTGGGGAGACAAACCACTCTAAATTCCTCTCCCTGAGATAATCCAGAGGAGAAATATGGGGATGAGAGACGGGAGAGATGGCTATCAGTCAGGAATTTTCCTAATCCGCTGGAGCAGCCTGTAACCCCATCATGCTGGGAGGTCTTAGGTGGTGTCATTCTTAACTGGAACCGAATAGTAAAATGGGAGAGGGACATAAAGAGAGAGAAAGGTTGAGATAAGGTGAGACAGACAAGGTGTGAGTGCTGTAAATCTCTTGTTGATTTGATAAAGGGCAGAAGGCCATAAGACTGAGAGAGAGGAGGGGTAAGCTAATGTGATGACAAGAGTGAAAACAATATTGTAGGCAACAGCTGACAATATGAGTTGTGTGACTCACAAAGTCTCACCTTATGTCTTGTGTATTTTACATCTGGTAGACAATATTTCCACAAAAAACTGTCTACAGTGAGGTCTGATAATTAATTTGAAAAACAATAAAAGATATTTTTGATGCAGCAAGAACAAAATACCACCTCTATAGGGTGGATAAGCCTCAACAGAAGAGATCTAAAAACCTGAAAAACCTTAATACTAGACTTAAAGCTGGATTTAAGGTTGCATAGACCAGTAATGCCCACCTTTTTTTTTTGTAAGGCTTACCCCCTGTCAGATAAACTCAAATAACATTTCATAGTCATTGCCATTTATTTGAATAATTCATCCATCACTTTCAGATAACTATTTCAACTGTTTATCCACACCTTTAGCTCAGTATAACTTTGCATACTTGCTAACTAGTTTTTATGTAGTCTTAAGTGGTGTTAAGGTGTTACAGCCAACTCAGCATTTATTTCTTTTAACTTCAGTTGTCATATTTATTTTTTTCAAATTAACTGAGCTACTCCACAATCTTTTCCAGTACCCAAAAGTTCTCTCTGTAACAAGAAAACCACTCATGTGCTTTTTCTCCAATAATGCTTTTTGGAAAATGTTATTAAAGCCATGACAAGAATAGGACACACTTCTATTAGGTATTGCAATTAAGTCTCAAGAGAGTGTTAACAAGCAGGAGGGTAGAAGTCAGTTTGTAGAGTTTGGTGTGATTGGCCTGCTGACAGCTTACATACACAGACATGGACCCACATTCTGAGCGAGTGCTCATAAAGAAGAATAGAAAGTTGATCTGGCTGGCCCTCCAAAAGCTGATGAACAAACAACTGTTCAGTGGGTGTGGGTGGGTGTGTGTGTGTGTGTGTGTGTGTGTGTGTGTGTATGTATGTTTCTAATCTCTTCTGTCTCTTTCCCAGTGAGATCTCATCAGCAGGATGCCTGAGCATGTGTGAGTGATGAGGCTTTGTGTTCTTATTATAGACCATTTATGCATTTACACATACACACACACACACACACACACACACACACACAAAACAAATATTCCTGAACTTACAAATTATATTTGGTCTTTTTTGTCTTTTAAATCTTTTCATTTTTGTTTCACAGGCAAGAGGTAAGACAATTTTTTTTTATCACATATTTTACAAAAGTATTGCTAATTCCTAACATATTCCACAGAAAAAATCAGATGACATTTTAAGTTGCAAGTGAAGTTAAAACATTTGAAATGTGTTGGGAATGTCCTGAATTATCTTCTCCATCCAGAGGAAACCAAAGATCTCAGCTTCAAGGAAGCTGATGCTCAAGGTAAGAGAGATCATGCGCCTAACTTTAATGTAATTAATGTGTTTAACCACAGGAGAGCAGCAGAGGTCATGTTCTGTGTATTGTTGTACAGTATCCTGGGTCTATACTGCGACCAGAACGTTTGGCCTCGTATGTAAAAATAAACAAAACATGTAAGCATGATGTGCTGTACTAGAGCAGTGTAAGAGCATCCTGTTTTATTGTATTATATGTCAATTCATATTTGTGCAGAGCCTGATGGTTGCAAAGGCCAAGGAGGAATTGGAACAAGAGATCCTAGTTAAAGAGGAGGAGAAACAGAAGTATCTGGCAGAGAAAGCTCCTCCTCTAAACACCAGCAGCCTGAGCCTTGCACAGTTACAGGTAACTGGTCCTCAAATTCCCTGAATGCTCCCACGTCCTTCCTTCTCTTCACTCCCTCCACTTGCTTCTCAGTAACCTAAAACCTGTAAACGCTGCTAAAGAAGCTGCTTCTCCCTTTCAGCTAGGCAAATGTTGTCAACCCATGCTAAAATAATCCTTTTTTCAACCTGGATTTTCGAACTGTGCCACACTGCCAAATAAAATATTTTAAACAGAACAAAGAGACAGACAAAAGAGACAGACAACAGACAGGGTCCTCATAGGTAAGATTAAATGCCTGAATTCGTGTCAAAACAGGAAATGAAAAGGAGCTGGGTTACACTGAAAAGTCACTTCCATAAAATACCAAATTTTCAACCTTTGCGTGTGTGTGTTTTGTGTGTATGTGTATAGGACCTCTGCAGAGAGCTCCATGAAAAGGTAGATGTGGTGGATGAGGAGAGATATGACATTGAAGCCAAAGTCATGCTCAACACACGTGAGGTATACATTACTTCCTCAGCCCTTTTCCATGTGCTGTAGGCAGAACTGTCACCATGAGAAAATCCTGCAGAACTAATGGTAATTGCCGCTCAATTCTCAATCCCTGGTCCAGATTAAAGACCTGAACATCAAGGTGTTAGACCTCAGGGGGAAATTCAAGAGGCCTAATCTTCGACGTGTTCGTGTGTCTGCTGACGCCATCCTTCGCTCGCTGCTGGGCTCCAAGCACAAAGTCTCTATGGATCTCCGGGCCAACCTCAAGTCTGTAAAGAAAGAGGACACTGAGAAGGTGTGTGCAGAAGGAAAAAAAAAAAGATGCATATACACACAGAACACAATCAAACCAGCCCAAGAAAGATGTGTGCCTTCCTCAGGGCAAGCTTGTAAGGTAGCTACTGAGAAGTTTCAGATACACACATGACCTCAGCGCTACTGAACACCTGAAAAGTGTGTTTATGTGTGTGTGAAGGGTGTGTTTGAGATACCGAGCAGTAGAGCCAGCGCAGGGCGGCGACCGTGTGTGTGTGAGAGGAGGTAAGGCACACAAGACAAAGATACCATTGTACACAGAAGAGAAGCTTTTGTGACCAGTTCTGCTCACTGGCCACTGGCCACTGTGTGTGTGTGTGTGTGTGTGTGTGTGTGTGTGTGTGTGTGTGTGTGTGTGTGTGTGTGTGTGTGTGTGTGTGTGTGTGTGTGTGTACGTACATGTGCAGATTAGCAGGTGCTGGTGTGTATCATCTGTGTGTGCTTGCATGGATGGATGTGTCTCTGAATGTATTAGGTGGTGTAAACCAGTTATACTAGTACGGTTATACAGTATTCTCACAGGGGATTCCCAGGTGACATCATGGGTCTCAAAGGCTCAGAAACAAATAATAATGATAATAAGATTTTCTGAACCTGCTCTACTTCACAGTCTGAAAAGGCAACAAAATCTGCTCTCATTCTTTCATACCAACTCTTACACCCTCTGTCTTCTGTATCTATGTGCAGAAGAGGCCAGTGGAGGACAGTGACTGGAGGAAGAATGTGGAGGCCATGTCAGGGATGGAGGGAAGGAAGAAGATGTTCGATGCTGCTAAGGGTCCTGCCCAGTGAACCCAGAAGGTGATGGGCTGGTGTCATCACTCCTCCTGCATCTGAATTGGTTTCGTTTTCCTACAGTCTATTGAGCTTTTGCATTTCCACCTAATACTGTCATTCTTGCGTATGCTCCTGAGATGGAGGTGAGAAGATAACCCCACTCTCCCAAAGGGTTTTCTTCACTTTCCTTAAAGGTCCAGTTTGTAACATTTAGGAGGATCTATTTAAACCAATCACTGGCAAATGGTATTTAGCTTTTTTCACGGCCACCACAGTTTTCCTCACACACTAGGAAGGCGAATGGTATTCAGTTAGTTGCAATCTGCAACTTCGCCTCTAGATCTCACTAAATCCCACACACGCTGGTCCTTTAAGAACTGATTTGTTTACTGCTCGTTGATATGCTGTTAAAAATGACTTTATCTATGTGCCACGTGCTATTATTTGTATTGTTCTTATAACTGATATTGCACCTGAAGCCCAGAGATTTAGGCTTATATTTGTATAGCTATGTCAAAAAAATGCAGCTTGTATTTCCAGATATTGTAACCTAACCAGCACGCCAAATGATATTATAGACAATAATATGACCTATCCAAAATCAAATTGCATTTTTTATATTCTTGCTTGGTGTTTTTATGAACTTTAACAAAATGATTTGTACGTCATCAGCTGATGCAACAATAAAACACATTTAATTAATCTAATTTCTTTTTGCTGTTTTTCTGAGTAAATGTATGATCAATGAACAATGGTTTTATTTCAATTAATAAAGAGGAATCTTCACCTCACTTAGGTAATAGTCTTCGTGTTACAGATGGTGAGAGGACTAAGCACCACATCAAACATGATTTTTCTTTTCCAGATTGGGATCAAATGTGATCAAATTGTTCAGCCATATAGCTGTTAAAAAACACCTTAAATAATATAAGGTTGCACAGCCTCTTGTTTTCTTAACCAAGAGGCTTGGATCTCGGGACGGCACTCTCTGTCTGTTGGTCGGCCCTCCACTTTCGTGCAGACTGTTAAATTGATTGCCATGACATTTTGTTGATTCATCTCACATTCAGGGTTAATTGTCACTTCGGTCATCCCATAACTTTTCATCAAAAATACTTGACAGTGGACAAACAGGAACTCAGACACCAAGAATTGTACCTCTAACATGGAGGCACCTCTGCAAGAGAGCACATTTCTGCTGATATGCCTGTGTCTGCCAGCTGTCTTCTTTAGCTGTCTGTTTTGCATGTTCATAAAGCACCCTCTGAAAAGTGCTTCCGTAATGGTACTTTAATCATTATCACCTTATCCAGGTGGATGCAAAGAGCCTGCAGCCGTCAGGTGTCACCAAATACAGTTTTCCCTCATGTCATTGTAAAGCAAATGAACACTGCAGCAACGCAGAAAAACAGTCTTCAGTGTTTAGAATGACAGGGTGCTGCTGCATGCTTCTTTGGCCAGGGAGTGACATGCAAACTAGTTCCATAAGATATCATCTTAATGGTATGAGCTATAAGCCAGCCTTCACCAAATACGAGTGAAGCAGGCTCACGTTAGCTCAAACACACAACAAGGAGGGATCTGGATGAGCACGAAGCTATTTTACCTGGAATCATAATAATAGGTCACCCTGTTTATCGTGATCTCCCTTTCTGCACAGAATGAAGCAGGTGTAGGGTACAAAGCCAGGTGAGGTGGAGGGTGTGTGTGTTGGACTGAGCCTGGGTCAGAGTCCGACAGACTGGGCTGCAGGGAAAGGTGTGGCCTCACACAGCCAGAGCAAACAGTCTGACTCACACTGTAAAGAAACTCACTGCCCAGTGCATCAGAACCCAGTCGGACATGCATTAAAAACACAGTTACATGTTTTGTTTTTTGTTTTTTTCAGGAAACATTTTTATTAAAAACACTTATTTTCACTGATGATATTCTATATTATGTTAATTAAAAAAAAACAAAAAAAAAACTATTTTGTTGTTCTTGCATTGTCCTGTCAGTTTTATTTTTTTTTTTTGCTTTTATTTTACTCAACACTTAATGAACGATTGTTCATTTACTGTTAGTTTATTGCTGAGTAGGCAATACCGGAATGAACTATTCCATCAATCTTTCTGGTTGTTACAAAGGAGTGACTGTTACAAGTTGTCATAACTTCCACATTTCCACCATACATGGAAAATCTCTCTCTCTCTCTGTGTTTCTCCCCCCCTCTCTCTCTCTCTCTCTCTCTCCCTCTCTCCCAGGTGGGTAGCTTACCTTTGTGGTCACGTGACGCCCCAGTGCACCGCACCGGGGTAAAGGTGGACTGCATTGTGCCGCACCGACTGTAATTTCACTGCCGCCCTCAGAGTGCCAGTCAGTCGACTCTTCCCTGTCTGTGAGCGAAGTGCGCCTGGGAACTTTACATTTATTCGTCCAATTATGTCCATCAGTCGGAAGAACTGGTCGGCTTTGTCCAGGTAAGATTGTATCCGGAGAATATGACACCTGTGTGTTTGAGAGCACCATCCTGCAGCTGCTGCTTTTTGACAGGAGATGTTATATAGTCTAACTTTGTTCACTGAATCAGCATAAAAAGCAGCTCTTTTGGCTTCACTCTTGCAGCCAATCAGCTCATCTAGAACAAAAATGAAATTATTCATTTAGGGACTTCATAATATCTGTAGGCTATCTAATATCTGAGCCTACAGTAGCCTTATGAAACAATGCAATTTCCTGTCTCCTTTGGAGGTATTATTTGTACAGACCTTTGCTGTGATATTTGAATGATATGCTGTAACGTCTTGAAATAACCAGAAGAGTTGTGCCGTCTTACCCTTGAATATTTGTGTTTGTCCAGAGGGGATATGTGTGTGTGTGTTATACACACACCATGCAGAACGCTAAACTGAATGGCTGATTTAAAGCTTGCTTAGACAAACAAACTGTAATTCTACTCAAAAACCGTTGATGAACAAGTAAAGCAGGTTCTGCGTAACAGTTATAACTGCACTCTCCTTTCCAGCAACCAAAACAAGCAGAGAACTGCATTAATTTCTTCTTCTTCTTTTTTTTCTTGGACACAATTTTATGTATCTTCATTTTTGTGAGGCCCTGTCTCTGCCTCTGTTTCATTTTCTGTTTTACGCACCCATGTTCTACATTACGACTCTGTCCCCAGCCTAGCGCGCCAGTGGACGATGGAGGATGAGGAGGAAGTGGAAAGGGAGAAGAGGAGGAGGGTGAAGAGCTCAAGCGGCACCGCTGACCCTGATGCTGACCTCAGCCAGTCACCCAGAGACACGCCCACCAGTGACAGCACCTTCGGGACAGACTCCACAAGTGAGACGTCCCAGGGGCTCAGCAGGTTATTCTCACGATTTGTAAAGAATAATTTATTGTTTTGTGCTTGCCAAAGCTTGATTTATAGCCTGTCTCACATGACTCTGTTGCTTTAGGTGTGTTCTGCTCTTCTTCACTCTGCCTCTATTCTCACTGTTTACTATTTAGGCTACTATTCTGTCTTTCATTTTCTATATCTTTCTTTTTCTCTCTTTTTCTTGTATCCTTTGTAAGATGGCCATATGGATGCTAGTATGTAGGAATCCATCTTCTTTGATGGTACACCTTTTTTAGTGGATGGATTTCAGACGCAGAGAGAGAGGATTCTTACACTTTTGTCCCTTGGGAGTGTGTCGTCTATACTTTTCAAACACATGAAAAAAACCTGACACCATGCATGGAAAGTATGAAAAGCTGTCAAAAACACCACCAGCTGAGTATCTGGAGCAGAAGCAAAGAATCTTCAAAGAGAGAAGAACTGTAGAGCCTTTCATCAGAGAAACCTGATCAGACACAGAACTGACAGATCCTTTCGCCCCTCACTAGAGTCTGTCCATCATACATATCGGTAATTCACATGTGATGTGTGTTATTGATTTTCAGTGCTGAGCAGTTGCAGCTGGACTTTGTGGAGATGCTGCGTGTCCGTGATGAAAAGCGTCGGATGAGGCACGTGGAGACGCTGAGACGACAGAAGGAGGTAGGGGAGGAGGAAGCAGAGGCCAGCGGAGGAGGAGGAGGGGTCCGGCTGGAGCTTCTGGGGGACTTGGATGAGGACCAGAGTAGCGGGTCACCTTCTGTGAAAGCCACATCCAAACCACAACCACCCCTAAAAACAGCCTCTTACAGTCCCACCACCAGCAGCAGCACCAGCAATATGAGCACTAACGTCACAAACAGACAAGTAAGATGTAGTCCCTGGTTACCTTTAAGCAGAGTGAAAGAAATACTATGTCAAAAATGTTGTCATTTGACAAGGCCTTGAGCTAAAGGCTAACATCAGCATGGTAACAGGATCACAATAACAATGCTAACATGCTCATATTAAGCAGGTGTAATGTTTACCACATTCACCATCTTAGGTCACATTTGATAATTAGCATTTTGATGTGATGATCGCACTATATGAGAAGTCTTAAGCTCACCACAGTGACTAGGATACCTCATGTGGGAACCATGAATGTCTGTACAAAAGTATGTGCTGATATATGAAGTAGATGCTCTGAAATACTACACGGGATAAGTGAGAACTTTGACCTGTTGGTGATGCTAAAGGAAAAGTTGAGTAATCACCAAAGTCACTAGAATTCGTCTTCTGGTGACCATGAAAGTCTGTACAAAATATCATGACAATCCATCCAATAGTTGTTGAGATATTTCAGTCTTGGACCAAAGTGGTGGAATGACCAACCAACAGCCGCTAGCATGCCTAAAAATGATAAAGCATGACCTGCCTTCAGTGACAGAGAAATCCTTTGACAAGACAGGAAAACAAACCTTCTCTCACATTCAGACTATTAATGCTTCACTCAGTCATAACACAGCACTACCAATAGTGCCACCCTGCAGTGTGGTTAATCACAGTTAACCCCACACAGAGGCAGAGTCGTGTTAATTATTTTCTAGATTCTACAATAACAACTCAACCACTTTTTTTCCTTTCAGGGGAAGATATTAATGTTCTATAAAGTTGGAAAAACTCAGTGAACATTGCTAATATTTAGGTGAACAAAGACAGACAGAGAGAGACATCATAAGAATATATACACCACTGATGGAATTTGAGGAAATTGAGGGAAATACTGTATGAATCATCTGCTGTCTTATTACTGGACTCTTCCTGTGAGTCAAGTGACCATGCAAATCATCTATACAACTTTGATAAGGTGTACTTAAGGTCATAATTTGAACTTTATCTTTTATTACACTGGCAGGTGGCTTTAATACAGTGTGTCTGCAAATGAGGCCATAACTGTACAGTGTTATGTAATGCAAGGTGTGTCTCAGTTGGCTCTGTACAAAAGCTTGTATGCCTTGTGCTCATGCTGATTGTCTCTCCTGTTTGTGTCTTTGTTAGCACGAAAATGGAGAGTCGCTGCGCAAAGACCCTGATCCCAAGCCATCGTCCAACCCGACTCGCAAGTTTGTCAGGTTAATGAGCAAACTTTTTGTATATTGTTCTTTGCGTGGGTTAATCACCGGGAAGGATCAAATAGAGATCAAACAGTTTTTTAAAGATAAGATAAAGGTTATTGATTCCGTACAGGGAAATTAAAGTGCAGCTGACAAGAAGAACAGTGTAAGCAGTGAAATAGCAACCAAAAGTAAGATATTCCCCAAGTTAAAATTGCTTAGTTTAAATGGTTGATATGAAGTCGGTTGTCTTCATGTCAACCATTTTGAAGACAACATGTTCTTACAATCCACATCTAGTTAGATTTGGAAACTTGACATATACTTAAATATTATTACAGTATATACAATGTTTAATTCAATCTCCCATAGACGGAGCTCTGATTAATCAACTGGAAAGACAGTTTGTGAATTTTTGTCTATGAAGTTGAGACAACAAGACATGGAGGCACGTCTGGTTTTCTGTTTGGATACATATATTTGGTGGTTATTTGCCAGTTTGACGATGCTGCCAGCCGGTCATTCTAAAAGATAAAAATGTTATTATCCGTTTAGGAGAGTTTTGACATGGTAGACTAACTTTATTATCCCTAGAAGGGTAGAGTGCAGAAAACAATATCTCAAAAGGAGACTGGTGAACAGGGTGCAGTAAAGACTTTAATACTCTGCAGCTTTACTGTGAGTTGCTCCTGGATGACTGGTTGCTTTCTCACGCACATCTTCAACTGACCTTTCAGTTCACTTGTGTTTCTCTGGTGTTGCAGTTCTGTCTCCATCTCACTTGACAAAAGTCCCTCTGTCAGCGAGTGCACGAGTCCCATGAGCCCTCGCTCTCCGACGGCCCCCTTGTCTCCTCGAGAACACTGGTCGTCGCCTTGCCAGAGTCCCTCTCCAAGGGGAGCTCAAAGCCCCGTTCAGAATGGACACACACAGGAGGTATTTTAACACGCAGATACACACAGTGTCAGATGACATAATCTACAACATCACTATCTGTGCTTCATGTTTTGCTTGTCACATGGAGTTTGGCTGCAAAGTGCTTGCTCAGCGCTGACGCTGCTGCTCAAGTCCAATAAAGCAACAGCACCCTCTAGTGATAAAAGAGTAGAAGTTACAGCCTTTGTGTCAAAAAAGCAAATCTTTGGCACCATAGTTGCACAAAGTAAACAGTCTTGAAGGATGAAAGAGATGCTCACTAGAGCTAATCTTCATCTGACTGGGGATAGTTGCATCTAATTCTATGTAACAGGACATTTTAAGTTATTTTACTTTACCTCAGGCCAGTGTGAATGGCTCTTCGCCCAACGGCAACTTTGAGCAGACGGCCAAACCTGCGTTCGCCAGACAGAGCTCCAGGACTATATCTTTCAGGGTAAACACATCCAACCCACACACATATACATACATGCATGCACACATTCTCCCTTGTAAATGCCAATGTTACCTTTTGCCTATTTGACTGTTAAAGCACGATTTAATCTCGCATCAGACTATCAGTTGAGGCTAATTTGCTTGTGCCACTCAAGCTTCAGGCTTATGCTAATAGCTGAAGAAATATTTACCGGAACTTTACTGCTGACTGGTTGCTTTGTTAACACCCTAACACATCACAAGGGACCGGGTGACTGCTGCTCATTAGCGGCTGATGTTTGGATTGCAGTAAGTCTGGTAATGCGCATTCACATATGCTTGGTTTTCCACAGATGATGAGGAAGAAAGAAGAGGAGACTGCGCCGCTGCAGAGGAGGTAAAGAAACATCATTGACTTTATACAGTCTCTTTGTACCTGTCTACCTTAGTTTGATTGCTGACTGTGTTATTCTGTTGCAGTGCCAGTGTGAGGATGTCCTCCAAGAAGTTTGAATCGAACACAGTAAGAGAACAATTTATAATGTATAATAATAATAATGGTGATAATACTGGGATTAAGTTTATTTGTATAGTGCTATATACCTAAATTGTATATTAGTAAACAGTTACAAATGATCAAAAAGCATGCACTCGATTCTTGGCTTTATGGTATGAAATTATTTTGTGAATTGTACATAATCTCATCATTATGCACCTTGAACAATTTTTCAATTTTGGATGGGGAAAAAGATCACAGCTATAGTGCAACATACTGTCAATGAAATTAAAATGTATGTTATTTGTTTTAAAGTTGTACATAGATGACTTACAGTGTGTAATGTTAATTATCCTTGGGTTTGGACCAGGACCAAAATGAAGATGAAGACAAAGCATCATCTTTCCAAAGAAAGTGAGTTTTTAAAGTTCATTTTCTTTTTTTTTACCTCTTTAAAAAAGTTTGAATTATTATCTTTTTAGTTAAAGTGTACAAAGCTGGACCGTTTTCTGTCCAGCTCTAGGCAGAGGATTTCATCCAGGTCCATCCAAGAGAAGATGGAGAGACTGGCTCAGGCTTCACAGGTCAGCAAAACATAATAACTCTTCCTTCTAATGTAGCATATTGATTTTGTGACAAAATACAGAGTAACTTTGCAAGTTCCAAAAAATTCTGCTTCCTATATGTGCATAGAAGTCAGAAATGATGCGATCTCCAGACGTGACCCAGAGGACCCTGTTCCTGCTGGAGGAGGTGTCCAGGAAGAGAGGCCTCTTTGAGAAGGAGAAGCAGGAGGCAGCGTGCCCCACGAGCCCAGGAGTTTCTAGACAGGTACATTCATTACTCACGATCCACTTTATGTTCTCTGTCAGACGTGCTATCATTGAATGCACTCATATCATTAACATGTTCAAAATATTTCCCATCTTGTTGTTGTTATCAGGAGTTTAGGAGCTTCACATCAGGAATGTCAGACCGGATCAGCCGCTGGCTGAACAAGACCAACCAAACTGGGTCTTCACAAAGTCCTGCTGTAAGGCTGTTTGCATCATTTTATGTCCACTAAAACTAGTTACAAAAGTGTAACATCTGGCTGCTAGAGGGCAGTAGAACACTTATTAAGGTATAACGTATGTCTCAGTGTCCTCAGCACAATATATATTTTGTCCCTGCTGCTTACCTGTGATTAGATTTGCATTTTATGGTTATTATGGAGGTAATTATGTAAAAAGTGGTCAAGTTGCTCTCACGAAAGGATGTTTAGGGATTGAGGACAGTACGCCAAGACCAAACAAAACTCTGATTTAAATGAACAGGAAACTGAATATTTTTAATTCTGAAAGCAACATCCTGTTGTGTTATAGTGAGCAATGTTTGACTTGTGGTGATTTGATACTTAAGTTCAGAGTAGAACTGGTTTAAACTGGTTGACTTAACTTCAAAAGTTTATGTCCCGGGTTGCTGTTAGTTTCAACAGTAAGGTATCCGTGGCAACAGGGACATTTTCAGCTTTGTTGTATCTGAGCAAAAATAAGGATACATAAATAACAGAATAAAAAAGATCTAACACAAATCAGTATGGGAGGGCATATATGTTCCTCTCTTCTGTCTGTTGTATGGAGGGTTGGTTGCCTTATACAAATAAGTGATCATTTTTAAATGTTCTATTTATAGGACTTGAGACATGTGGACATCACCAGTAAGAGGAGCCTGTTTGAGAGCAGTGGGAAGTGAAGGAGAACCATTTATAATGCCCAGCAGGTAAGATTACTGTCCCACACTGCGTGTTGTAACATATAGCAATACTTATTGTCTGTTCATTGCTATGGAAAAAGTATCTTAATGAAGCAGATCTGAGGCAGCCAACAACTTTAACACAACTTTATATTTAAATAAGAAATAAAAATGTATTTATGTGCCTTTTCATTTGTATGATTTAGAAGACGGCAAAAGGACACGAAGAGAACTGGAAGATTAATGGATGCCATGACTGACTGATTCTTTCTTCAAGCTTTTTATGTTTTGTTTTTTTCTTCACCGCCAAAGCGAAAGGAGGAACAGATGTGCGAAAGTTGAGTTTTAGCTTTAGAGGACTGAAAAGAAGGATACTGCTTTTAAGGTTAGGAGGCTTTAATCATCATACACATTTGCATTGCTGCTTGAAGTATAAACTGAAATGTTTAAACTCTGTATGAGGAAGAGAGTAGAAAGCAAAGTAGACATGAGAGGAAAAGAAAAGAGAAGGCAGTGATATATTTGCTTTAAAACTATTTGGCTATTTGCCTTGACTTTGTGTAATTGTGTAAAGCACTTTAAACAGGTGAAGGTCTAATGATAGCTATTTTTATTGAATTACAGTAGTGGGAATTCTGGAGTTGTAATTGTATTTCTTGTCTAATTGGCTAAATATATTTTTGTTCTGTGTCACTGTGGACAAGGTGATGCCTGTAAGGAAGGAATAAAATGTTTTATTAGCACAAATGTGTGTCATAAATCTATTTTAATTGCTCACTTACACACTATGGATACAGTGTCTAGTGTTAAATGCATATACACTTTTAACATCACTTATCTCAGTGGAGGAGGATGTAGATAAGAGTTGTATGCCTGTGTTTTGTCAGTGGTGAGCTGCCATACAAGGGTGATAAAATGTGAATGTGGTGTGTGTGTGTGTGTGTGTGTGTGTGAAACAACTGTGGCTTTATCTGGATCTTTCTGTCACTGAAACACACACTTGTGCACACAGCGACCTTTTTTGGGAATGGTGATAATAGAGAGTACATGCTATCTAAAAAGTTATTAATAACACAACAAGGGGTCCTAAAGCCTCTTCCCAGCTACACAATGTGTCCCTTTACCCTTTCACGTTCCTGTTATTCAAAGCAGGGACCTCTCCTTGCTGCACATTGAGTCTCTCATCAACTCTCTTTCTTCACTGTGCCTTTTGATCCTCAGGTAAGCTTCACTGATTATAATGTTTTGTGAGCACAGTGTTTAGGCTCTAAAATGTTGTTAGAAACCCGTAAATGAAGTGGCGAGGATGTGAAGGGGAGGATGATTTCTCTGAATTAATTTATGGACTGGACGGACTGGATCATTTATGTTCAGATTCACTGCCGGACACCTGAACACTCCCTGGCATGTCTGACAACGAGGAAGTGGTGGAGGAGTATGAGGAGTAGGTTGAGGCTTTTTCTTTTTTCCTTTTTATGTAATATATAAAAATACAAATATACACATTTCTTATGTTTCTGCTTGAATATACTGAACATGTGTCTCGTGTAAATGTAAAAATACACCCCACTGTACAACTGTACATTGACAGACATGTAGTTTCTTTACATCTATTGTAATGACAGTGATGTAAATGGTTATACTTGCATATAATGGCTTTTGTATCCAAATAATAATGTACATTTATTGATTTTCACAGGGAGGTGGAAGGTAAGAACTCTCATCATGACTCATCATATACTGTAGCACTGACAGATGTGATCTACTGTAAAAACTAAAGCTGTGTTGTTATGACAGATGTTTTCTCTGCTGAATTCAGCGAGCTTAATAGAGTAACCCGACACTATTATATTCTGCATAACAGTATTATAAGGATTTTTAAAGGAATGTAAGGAACATTCTCGTAGCTGTGTTCTGTGAATGAAAATGTCAAGTTGATTTATGAATGAAACGTAAATGTTCGCCTTGTTTGCTCTTACACTATATAATTAACAGGGTGTCTGCAGTTTATTTCTATTGTTTGAGGCTTATTATAAGCACATAGCATGTTTCTACAAAAAGACTTTCTTTTTGAGTCAAATATCAAGATTGAAAGATTGCACTAGGAAGATCTTTTTTTTTTTTTTAATACACAGGATGTAAAAGTTATTTGTATGGAGACTTGATGGTGATTTCTTATTCCTGTTCTAACTTTGCCTGTATTTAGTTGAAGCATTAAAGCAAAAATAGTGTTGTGTGTGTGTGGCAGTATATAACATGCAATGCTATAAACCACAGTTTGAACCTCTCATTATGTAATTATATGTGTATAATAACTCTCTTGTGTATTTTCCCGGCTGCGTGACTCAGAAGAGCAGGCTGCTGAAGGTATGTGAACTTATCTGTATCATCAATGAATAAGTTTTGGTCATAAAAAAAAGGTGGAGTGATGGACACTCCTGGTGCCTTATTTTGCCTGTGACTGACATTCATGAACGATTTCACTGGAATCATTCATGCATGATGTCATCGTGCTGTGAAGACATCCTCCTGTCTTTCTTTGAATGTTGCTGGCTGCTTTGCTCGCTGGCTGGCTTTACTAATCAGCTATGTGCTTTTGCTCAGCAGGGGAGGAGGGGGTAGAGGAGGAGGAGGAGGAGGAGGAGGAGCATGAGGAGGAGGCAGAGGAAGGTATTGCTTGTGCTTTGAGCCTAAAGCCTTTTTTTCTAAGATACTCCATAGACTGCAAATTTCAGGCTGTTAACGTGGACATAGATCCAGCACCATCCTGCATTCTGTGACAACCTGACAAACCATAGACTGTATAATGCCTTAAACATGAAGTGTGATGAAGCTCACTGCACTCACATGCACAGTAACTGGGCATAAACATTATGAAGCAAAATGTAATTTTAAGTATTAGATAAAATGTTGTAGCAGACTACCCATAAAAGTATGACTGACATATAATACTAAGAAATGTCAATTTAACATTTGGCAAGCAACGTCAGCAAGGAGACTGCTATGTATAGAGGAATACAAATGACTTATTAAAAAACAAATGAAATATAAATAAATGCTGTAATGTGTGTATGGGTATTCTTATGTATTTATTATGCATTTATTTAGTTAAAAATAACAAAAAAAAGATGTAGTTTTAATAACTAAATAAATGATTAATTAAAAAATACAGAAATGTATTTCTATATCCCTACTCATATTTATACATATCTAAATTTCTACATTTATTAATGTAGTGGAGCACCACCTACCTCATTAACATTTAGACACAGAAATATAGATATTAATAAAAATTCAGATATACAAAAATAAATACACATAAATGTACAGAAATTACGAACATGTTTATTTAAGACACAATCAATTACCAACATGTATTTTATAATTAATTTAATTATGTATTTCTGTGTTAATTTCATAATTTCTATATACATCTTTTATTTATTTGTTGTATATTCATGTATTTATTTCAGCATTTATTTACCTATATATTTCTTTATTTATGTCATTAAGTCATTTTTAGTCTCCCTTAGAGTATGACCCTGATCTGACTTTTCTGGATTAGCAGTGAAAGCTATCAAAAGCCTGAACAAACATTGTCCAAATCAAAGTTTGTCTCTTTTTTCCTTTCAGTATGGAGATATCTCACCTGATGAGATCATATATTTGGGACTTTACCACTTTGCTCTCTCTTCTCTAAAGTTCCCAAACATCAAGCTGAACTGCTCATTTATTTGCAGATGCAGTTTTGTGTTTGATGATTTGTGATCTTATTATCACTTATGATCTCATGAAGTCAGAGTTGAGATGGTGTGGTGTCTGACCCCAAATACACACACACACACACACACACACACACACACACACACACACACACACACACACACACACACACACACACACACACACACACCACTCATCAACTCTTGAGTGCTGTCTGCTTTAAATACCAGAGGTGGGTAGCTCATTCTCAACTGATCACTTGTTATCTCTCTGCAAGGCTTTTCATACTGTTTGAACAAACTGTTGTCCATTCTACTCTGGTTCAGCAGCTGCTCTCTTATCTCCTTCCTTTCACCATGAACTTTTGAAAAATAACAAGGGATGGCGACTGTTCACATAAGGCGATGAGTCAATATCACACCCTGTGAGTGTCAAGATGTCTCACTGAGGTGTCACTATTTGCTGTACAACTTTCCTTTCTGCCAGAGGCTGTGCAGGGAGAGGACGAACCTGCTGCAGAGGAGGAGGCCAACGAAGAACAAGGTGAAGTGTTTGAACGTAGAGCGCATTGTTGTGAAGTTGTTTTAGAGTGCAGACATCCAGTCACTGTTGTTTCTGTGCCAGTTGTTAACCAGCAAGACAACTTACAAAAGTGCTGACAACGGCGTGATGATGATTAATTCAGTCAGACACAGACGGGAAAATGACCTGCTACATCAGTTGCACTTCACTTTGGTATGTGTCAGTCTGCAGGTACTCGATAAGGCGAAACCTACATTTTTCCTCATATCTCTGTCTCTCTGTTAGTCACAACAGGCACAGTCACAGGGTGCAAGTAATCACCCTAAACACTGCTCATTTGTCAAAACTGATATTATCTGTTCTTCTTAATCCAAAATATTTAGACGTTTCTCTATATGGTTGCCAAGAAACAGGAATTATGTTTGTCAGATTCAATCACACCTTTCCATCTTATCTATGCCTTCAAATCAGTAAACACACTATGAGGCTCTTATAAACCATCACACACACTGCATATGTGGTTTGTTGACTAAATGGTGTGTGACAGCAGCATTTTATCTGGTGACCATGACATTCCCATCAGCCTCTGCTGTACTTTATGTTTAGTGCTAATTAGCAAATGTTATGGAAAACTGGAAAACTTGCTCCATGGTGGAGCTTTTATGTTGTTATGGCCTTTAAAATCTTTGGTTGAGTGTGTCATTCAGAGGTCACAGATGCCATTCCCTCTTTGGCGAGTGAGTGCTTATTATCAAGATAATTTGCCTCTCACCTCTCCAGACTGCTATTTTTGACATGTGACACATGCAATACTTTGAAATACACACACACACACACACACACACACACACACACACACACACACACACACACAGACAGACAGGATAAAATGAGCTAAACAAACTGTACCCGACTTTTTCAGTACTCTGTTTTGGTCTTTCTCTTCTATATAATTTTGTCTGTCAGCACTCGTAAAAACACTACTATTCACTGTTCTCTGATGCACACTCATTTGACACGGTCACAAACACATACAAACCTCCTTATTCTCTTTCTATTTTTATTATTTTGGTTTCAGATGCAGAAGGCGAAGCGGAGGAAGGAGAAGGTAACACTGTTTATATGAACAGCATGAGAATGAATGCTGGCACGCCTTACACATTGTTAATCTGTTTTTCTTGGCTGTAGTCAGCAATTTACCTTGAATCATAAATGGGATTAGCTCAGATTAACTTTCTGCTGCTATATTAAATTTCCAGCTGTTATGAGCACGTACGCAGGCTCCAAAGTCATGACTTGCTGGCGTTTTCTGGCAGGATTATGACATTTTCTTGGTGCGTTCTGCGTGAGAGTGTGTGTGTGGTCTGGACTAACTTATTGTTCTCTTGTCTTTCAATATTTCCTTTCTTTCTTAACAGAGGAAGAGGCCAAACCAAAGTTCAAGTGAGTAACACAAAAAGTTTATTCTTCTACAGCACTGTTGTGGAAATCAAATATTTATTTTGGAGCTAATTCTTCTTCCTATGCACAAAACCTTTGAATTTAAGGAATAGTCCTTTGGGAAAAAAATGGCTTTTCTTACAGACAGAAGATTGACACCACTCTCATGTGGTATGGTAATCTACCATACCACCACCAGCTACTTAATTTAGCTTATAGCACAAACACTGGAAGCAGGTGGAAACAGTTAGTCTGGCTCTGTCCAAAAGAAACAAAGTTCTACAACAAGCACGTCTAAAGCTCACTGATTAGCACCATATATTTGGTTTTATCTGAACAAAGTTAATACACCTGGCCTATTAAGGTTCTTTAAAACCCTTAGTGTCGGATTGATTTTTACATCAAAAATCATACTCTGAAGTTTGAACACACATACATGACACACATGAATACAATGAACCTGCTGATTGCATTTTATCTTCATTTGCCTCCTCATTTTGTTTCTTCACATTTTTCACTTTTATACTTTAGCCACTTGTCGTTCACTCACTTGTCCTCTCTGTTTCTTTCTTTTTTTTAAATCTAGGCCATTTATCATGCCCAACCTCATCCCTCCTAAGATCCCAGATGGAGAGAAAGTGGATTTTGATGTGAGTTTAACAGAGTTTAATAATCTACATAGGTTTCTGCCTAATGGTGTATGAAGTCATTTTAAGCATCGCCAGATGTGACGTTGGATGTCAATGCTCTGCGTTTTATAGTCTCTATTCATTTCATTTTGAACAACTTTTGAGTGAACTTTAACTGAAGCTCCCATTGTTTTTACCCAGACATTTTACTTTAGTCCAGGTATCCCTTTAATTTGAGACCGACATATCATGTCTTTCTGTAATGTGGAATCTAATTAAACCTTGAGTACAAGAAGCACTGAACCCCTGTTTCTGCAGGATATACATCGTAAAAGGATGGAGAAGGACCTGATGGAGCTTCAGACTTTGATCGAGGTTCACTTTGAGAGCAGAAAGAAGGAAGAAGAGGAGCTCATTAATCTCACGGATAGGATTGTGAGAGCCTCACATATTCCCACAAACATAACATTAAAGATGTGCTTTAAGATCTGTTAAGATGTGATGATCTATTGTGCAGGAGAAGCGCCGTTCTGAGCGAGCAGAGCAGCACAGAATCCGCAGTGAGAGAGAGAAAGAGCGACAGAAGCGCCTGGAGGTATAGTCATGTTCAAGCTGCTGTAATGTAATTTATCTATTTATTGAGCCACCTCCTCCCATTTCAGTCCTGGTCCTCTTTCTCTCTGCTTCCATGTTTGTTTAGGACGAGAGAACTCGTAAGGAGGAGGAGGAGGCCAAAAAGAAGGCAGAGGATGACGCTAAGAAGAAGAAAACCCTCACCAGCCTCCACTTTGGAGGCTACATGCAGAAGTTGGTGAGTCTGTGGATGGTTCATAGTGGGGTTTCTCCAAGAGTAGTGAAAGTGTAAAAGACGTAGACCAGAGCAATGTTTTATTTCACTTTCCAACAGACAGAAAAACGGAGTGGTAAGAGGCAGACTGAAAGAGAGAAGAAGAAGAAGATCCTGAGTGAAAGACGCAAATCTCTGGACATTGAGAACATGAATCAGGAAAGACTCAAGTAGGTGGAGAGTATGTCGTGGCATTGTAGCCTAACACAAGAAAGAAAGAAATATATATATTTTTTGTTAGGGACATTCTTTATGATACCCTCGAGGCGATGAAAATAATCCCTCAACATGCCAAAAACAACAACAATCGCACTGTCCCATTTTTCTGTATCTCACAGGGAGAAAGCTAAAGAGCTGTGGGAGTATATGTACCAGCTGGAGGCAGAGAAGTTTGAACTGCAGTACCAGTTGGCGAGCCAAAAATATGAGGTGTGTGTGCTACAGTACACAACACATATCGTTAAAGTATGGCACAGGATCTAACAGACCTCACCTCATTAGAGTAACCTTTGAATGTTTTCTATCGTTCCAGATTAATGTGCTGAGGAACCGTGTCAGCGACCATCAGAAAAAGTGAGAAACCAATTGAAACTGTCCTCTCTTTTTCTCTCTCTGATGCCACACGGTTATATAAAGAGTCCCCAGTATGAATCAAGTACGGTGGCCCTGCAGTGCAAAAACACAACAGCAATTCACAAAAACACAGTTGATTGTGAATTGCTGCTGTGTTTTGCACTTCAAGGCCACCATAGTCAAGTCACAGACTGACCCAGCCCCGAGCCTCAAAGCGGTTTGGAGGCTCGTTTGTTCCATCTGCCATCAGGCTCCACAACGCCACAGCTCCCAGTTCCTCCAACCCCAGCAGATAAAGACTGGTTTAGAACTCTACTACCTACAACGCACAAACCTTTTGCACTATTTATATTTGATTTCCACTTTAGTAGTTTAGTAGTTTTAGTTTAGTTTTTAGTTTTAGTCTTAATTTTAATTAAGTTTAATTTTCTTTTTCAACAAATAGTGTATATACTTTAATTTATAGTTTTTATATTTTCTAATATTAATAATATTAGCAATATTTTTACTGTGATTTTTGCGCTGCTTTGCCCTATTAAATTCCCAGGTTTGTAATGCAGGCTTTTTCTTCAAAACATGTGGTCTTTGAAAGCTCCCCCTAGTGCCACAGTACACAATATAGAACTGTTCCCTTTGTAGTTTGTCTACAACTTGTGTTATTTGTTTATCTTTAACAGGGGAGATGGCCCTAACCCTATAGTAAAAACTATATCTGTAGTCATGTCTCCCCTAAAATATTTTGTCACAGAGGTTGGGGATGTATTTTGAGCAGCACATATCATTATAGGAATATTATAAGAATACTACAGACAACAGTGGGTCTATATGATCCTCTCGCTCTTGAGTGACCACTCATTGCTACTTGTCACTTTGAGTACATGTAGTATAGAATTAAGTATTTATAGTATGTAGTTTAGATAATATTATAAATCCAAGATGAAACTGACAGAATGAGAAAAAAGTCATTATTATGCATTACCTCCCATTTTCATTCTCTAATGTAATGACTAAATTGAACTTGCCTCAATTTTACTGACACACATTACTCAAAGTTTTAAGAAAACTTCAGTTCATAAAAATCAATAATTACGTCTTGTAATTCAAGTTCTAGGAATAACGTTAAAGGTGGGGCCCTAAGATCATGCTGGGAAAACTTAAAAGAGAAAACTGACCAAATGATTTAATAATTAGAATATTATTAGCCTACGGCTTCAGACATAAACTGTCACACATATATTCGAGTCTCAGAAACAACAGTAAAGTTGTCCAGGGTTATAATTGTGCTACATTTAAAAAGACCATGTGCACATGTTCATTTGTTGTGTCAGTGGATATGAAGCAGCCCTCATTACTAACTGAATGGCATTTTGCAGCCAGAACAGCAGAGTCACCTCCACTCCCGCTTTCCTCTCCTCCTCCCTGTCACAGCCCAACTCTCATTTTGCTTGTCAAGAGTTCACAAGCCCTCCTCAGGCCTGCCACACCCAGCCATACAGCTCTCCAAGTTAGAGGAACAACTTGGAGAGCTGTATGGCTGGGTGTGGCAGGCTTGTCAGCTGCCACACCTGTCACAGACACATTAAAAGACTGAGAACGAGAGAAGGAGAATATGTGTGCTGATTGTTTTTTTAAATGGATTCTGCAACCTTATAACATCAGCTAAATGTGCATTCTCAGTGCTTTATGTGGAGTATTTTGCCTCATGTGTCTCTTTCTTTTCAACAGTTCCAAGAGGACCAAGAGAGGCCTGAGGAAATAGAAGCTGACCGGCTGAGTAAGCAGTTTAACCATCAGACCCGTCCTGCAGCTACCACCTAAAACCAAGCCCTGGCTTTCCTGCCACACCCCAGTCCCACCTGTTTCCCTAATACGATCACCTACTGAACCAATTATATCCAGATTTCCAGCTCCACCTCACCTTTCTCTCCTCTTTGGATCCTTTGTCTTTAAGGGTGTAAATAAATCCATCTCAGTCTCAATCAATAGCTTCTTTCATTTTCAGACCTCTGAGTGTGGGTGCATCACTTTATTTACTGGCACTAAAAACTCAACAGAGAGTAACATGACCCTGCAGTACATTCAAGACTTGAATGCAAAAAGCCTGAAGCCAAAGACAGGAAGAGGCATCTTCTGACAGGCTATGACATGACAGGGAGATGCTGCTCCTTGGGCCAACGCCCAGACCTCCACCCAACACACACATACTGAAAGAGAATGAATCATTTTAATTTACAAGGGAATCCAGGTGGGAAAATCCTCTTTATGAAAAAAAAAAAAAGTCCCTCCTCCAACAGTTTTCAACTTTATTTCAAAGTCATTTGTGTCTGAATTTACATGACAACACTCTTGTCTTGTATGATAAACTAAAAACCAGTTAAGAAACTGATTATAATTTATGAAACTAGCATTCCAGTCAGTGGTAGTCTGATTTATGAATTTGAGGCCAGATATTACTAAACTTATCTCAATCAATTAAAAAAAAAAAAAACACACACACACACACGGTTGGGGTTTGTGTTTTTTTTTAAATTGCTGTGGTCTAAGGGTGGAGTTGTTGTGAGTTGTCTGTATCATTTTTCAGCACTCCACCACGCAGGAGACGGACAAGCTGCAAATCTACTATATCCTAAAATAATCTAAATCAAACTATGCACAGAATATTTCTGGTTTAAAGTGTTTTACATCCATGAAATAAAACAAAAAAATATTAGCTACCTCTTCGAAAACAGAATGAGGCATTGAGGAGTTCTCTGTGCCTACGGTGTGGTTTATAATTAGTCAACATACCATGGAGAAGTGGAATGAGCGAGAAAACCTATTTTTCATTGCTTTCTGTTACCTGTCAAGAAAGCAATGTGGGTGAAAGTTGAAAAAAAATGCAAAGAAGATCTAAATCATACAAAACATCATACTCAGTACGAGCATTAGACAGACAGTTAAATGTCAAAAACTGCGATGTGGAAAGAACACGTTCATGTTTTGAATCTTTGAAGAATGTCACTAATCCCTCACACCACATACTTGTTTTCGAAGTCAGAGAACGGCATGCACACACACACACACACACACACACACACACACACACACACACACACACACACACACACACACACACACACACACACACACACACACACACAAAAACACTGCTGGAATGAAAACTTAATTATTTCAAGAGATCTACAAGAAATGATAAACAGAGAATTCTGTATCTTAAAGCACGCCTTGTACTGTGTAATCTTCAAATATGCACATAGAGGGTACCTTTAGGTCAGTGAGAAAAGACCACCGCTTACAATGTTGTCTTCATATGTGTTATTTATTCTCGGTACATACTGAGTGACAGGGAAAGCTCCTAATTTTATATGCCACACACACATTTCTCCAAAAATACATTCTAAGCAATACTGACATCAATCTTTCTCCTCAAGGCAAATGAACCTCAGCATGACTATATGTCTTAAGCGTAAAAAACAGACCACTGCACTGTATTGCTTGAGCCATGGGGAATCCCCACAGATGCCAACCGTCTCATCTCCTTGCTGGGTCTTCAAGAAGGATTTGAGTTTTAAGATTTTAAGCCTGTTTTCAGTAAACAAGATTGTGGTTTGGTTATGAGAGCAGATGCCTTGTAACAAGCTCTTACAACTTTATAGTAGAAACATTAAATATAAAAGTTTAAGATGAAGAACCGCATGTCTGTTTTTCAAAAAAAACATTTAATTAACACTATATATTTGAATGTGCAGCTCGTCTCACCTGAGCTGGCGAACACAGATTACTGGCTCTGTCCAAAAGGTGACATGGTTCTACTACTTAGCATTTTACATCTTGTTTCTATAATGAAAGTGTAAAAATTGTGATTTTATAGGTCCCTTAAACCCTGTAAAACCACAATGTGTTGTTTTAACTCTAACGACAAATGAGATATAGCGTGTTAATAATTACAGAGCTTTAGAGGTTAAGGTAGGTAGATTTTGTTACCTTTGCACAGAGTCAGACTAGTTTTCTCTACCTGTTTCCTGTCTTATAGGAATAATCAACCTATTGCTTTAACTGTTTAGGCACTCTTGTTGCAAGCTGTTTATTTTTTTTTTACAAAACAAAATTTCACTAAATAAGAGAATGAAACAGATAACAGAACAAATAACAAAATATCACATCCGATAGCACTGAACATTATAAATGTAGCATTTCTTTGCGTTTGTGTGGAAACCTTGAAAATCCAAATGTTTTCTCTTGAACTGAGAGTTTGCTCAGTCCTTTCTTCTTAATTCTTTATATACTGGAGGGCACATTACACATAATCTACTAACTTCAAGAAAGCAAACAAAACAAAACATATTCTAAAAAATATATTGTTATTATGATGCTTTATACTTATGGAGCACACTCTTTAGACTTTCATCCGATAGCAATAGTGTCACAAACACACAGTCCATTTCCCCTCTCTTTTTATTTTATTTTTTACTATATATTTTTTTCTTTTTTTTACTTTCGTTTTTTCTTAGGCCTCAAAGCCACAGTAGATATTTTATCTTTTTTAGCAACCTTAGACACATTTGACAACACCATTCATGAATATAAATGATCACTGCGAGTAACTTTCACTGCAGATAACATTGTCTATCCACATTGTCTCGGGTACTGTGACTCTCAGGCCATAAGAACTGTTTTTTTTAGCACACGCACACACACACGCACACACACACACACACACACACACTACCGAAAACCACTTATATACAAAGACAGAAACATATCCAAATTAAATACATACAACACCACAGGATTATCCATGAAATTAAAAGCTCTCTTTTTCTCTAAATTATGTACAAAATATGATTGACTCTTAATTGACAGGCACTTTCAACAACATGTGAAGAGTGTCATTTTACTCTCCTCGTTGCAAGGGTGTGGCCACAGCAGTGTCTAAACATGCCGGTTTCCATCTGCAAGCACAAACACGAGCACATGCTTGAAAAGAGAGAGAAACAGAGAGAAAAGAGAGACAGACAAAAAGTTTCAATCCTTAGGATACAAATTCTGCACATTTTCCTTACTCCTGGCCTTTACATCTAATAACACGCAGGTTACAAGCATTCAGACATTAATCATACCTCTCAGGCTCTGTGGTGCCATTCCACTTGTCCATCACACTCACTCGATAATTTGCACCGACCTGTGCACCGCTGTGGTGGTGTCATTGACAAAAAGTGATTTGTTGAAGCCCAGCTGTGGATCAAAAAGAAATCAGTTAAGGGTGACGATTGTTCTAACTGTAAGAGGAAATATACTGTGTCAACAACTTAGAGGAGCCTCAGGCAAATCATGGAAGGGTGAGAACCAGAGTGTTTCCCTACCAGCTCTATTTCTCTGTCACTTGTGTTTCTTAATATATAGCATGTATAAGCATTGCTACTGCATGTAAGCACACTTGTTCATATTCACAGATAATTTTCAATAAAGTCTTTCGTATATTCTGTCTATCCTCCACCCTGTTCTCCTCTGACTCTTGCTGTCTTGACCTCTTCTTCATCTTGCTGCTATTTTACATGTGTTCTCCCATAATAGACAGTGAGCACTGAAAACCAGTCTGCCAGGATTCCAATGTGACTGTTTCTGTATTCACTGAACTTTTGGGTGGGGCAGGAGGGAAGGGAAAGTGACTGTGTGAGCCAGAGGAGTAATAATAAACCCACTGCTAGGCCCTCCCACAGCACATGCAAGGCAGTGCAAGCATGTGCTAAACTGTAGCCTCCTGCAACCATGTGTCCTCATATGGGGTCAAAGTTTTATAGTAAATAAAGTCCTGATGTCCTCATATGGGGACAAAGACATATTTGTTTAAAGACAATGCTTGGTTTTTATGTTTATCAGGTCCTAATAATCCCAAATAGCTAGGAGAAATTAAAAACCAAACAAAAGCTCGGGTCTCAGGATGTTAACCTGTTACAAAGATACAATAGGTTTGTGTTGTGTTTGCCTTAGAGAATTGAACACACAATCAGTCACATGTTTTACAGTGCTGTCTAATTTACCTTTCTCGCAACACCTTGCAAATTCTTGTCATTCCATAAGCTGTAGAGCAGCAGAGAAGCTGCTTTGCTGCCTTTGGGGAAGGACCTAGGACAGAGGGGCAGGAATCATTAAGGAATATCATGGGCGAGCACAAAGAAGAGCAGGCAGAAACAAAATAGGGCAAACCACACACAGGCACGAAAGCATTGTAAGGAAAGAAAGCAATTTAGGCAGTGAAGACACTACCTGCACTATTTGTATTTTAGATGCTTTGACAGGAAAGAGACAAAAGAAGCATTTGTGTTAAAATAACTGCTTCGCAAGTTACAGTAGCAACTGCAGCCTTCACGGTAGCTTAATAAAGTTCCTTGATATATATTGACTGTAAAGGAGGACGAATGCCAGCAAAAGTGGCAAACTGTGCCACATATTTTTTGTGCATATTGTATGCTGTCTGAGATTTCGTTTGTAACATCAATATAGTGGAGGCGAATGCTCACAGAATTTACAAGAAACACCCATTTGCAACCCAAGATACAATTTACCCACTACTCTGGATAATCCACAGAACATGCTCCCGAATAACAGGAGGACTGTTTCTGGAAAGAGGTGTTGTTGCTGATATCAGTTTTTTTTTTTGTGTGCGCAACACAAACAAAATTCCATTCATTGTCATTGTGTAAGGACAGAGGCAGAAATCTCAAAACAGGGGCTGATAAACCTCAAAATGATCTACATAGCTAAACACCACTAGAGGTAAGTGAAAATAACCAACCCTTTAAGGAAAAGTAAGGGAAAATCTTTTGTGTAGCACCTTTCAAACACAAGTCAACCAAATGCTTTGGTATCAAATTTCATAGCTCTTTGAAGGCCCTTTTTGTATACATGTATATTTATATAAAAATAATATTTCTTATTTTATTGTATTTATTGTATATGCTATTCTAATATACTTTTAATTAACTGTTCTATGTGTGTAGCATGCAAACTTTCATTTTGTTGTACAACCTTGTGTTAAAAAATGTCCTTGATCACTAAAATGAATTTAAATCTGAATCTGAATCACCTGAATCTCCCACACAAACACAGAGATGAATAAATAAAAACTCACCCATTCTCGCTGAGGTCCGCCAGTGATGACACCAGTTCACTATTAATGACCTTCTTGCTGACCTCAGTGTCTGCCAACATCAGAGTCCGTACTGTGCCACAAGCTGTTGCTATAGTCTCGTCAGAGTTTCCCATCTCCCGGGGGCTAGAGGAGAGAAGGCTGCTGAGCTCAGGCAGCAACTGCTTTGCTACAGGGAAGACGTAGGAAACATAACAGTACATCAGTTTTATATAGCCTAACTCTACATTTATGTATCTGCAACTGCTGCCTGCAAAAGAAACATTATAATACAAGCATTTCATGCTTTGCCTTACCCATGGAACTCTGCAAACTGCTGGTCCGAGACATGTTACCCAGCAGCGAGATGGCAGTCTTCTGCAGGGTGGGGTTCGGAGACTTTAAAAGAGGGGTCATGTGCATCAGAGCCCCCACCTTTTGAACCAGAATCTGGCTCATGGCACTGGACCCCTGGAACAGAAGCAAACACAATAAAGAAAGAGGAAAAACATTAGCTATAGCATATTTTCACCATACCTGCATTGTGATATCAAATTCACCTTTACATGCTTTTTATGTCCCCTTGTTATAACTTATCTTTTTTTCTGTAATAACCTTTGAATCCATGGAGACAATACTACACCCTTTCTCACGAAACCAGTCAGTTCTTGTGAAATTGTGCCGTTGAGTCATTATTCCTGCAACCTTTTTGTCTCTCTTAAACCTATCTGAGGTAATCCATAAATACTGCACAAAAATGGTAAGCCTAATAATTAACTCCTTGTACTCACCAGTCCCTTCCCAGCAGTGAGGTTCTGCAGGGCACCACAGGAAGCTTCCAGGGTGGCATCTTTCTGGGACGAGCCCAGTAGGGACAGGTAGGTCTGCATAGCTCTAGGATGGCACAACCAATTCACACCTGATGGGTTGCTGTCCTCTGGCATATCCCGGGCAACATCAAATGAGAACTGAGGACAAAGGACGAGACAGGGATGAGAAGGAGGGGAGGGAGGACTTGAATCAGTTGACAAAGAGGAGTGGAGATGTGGTGGATGATGCCCACCTCCTTTTGAGCCTTGCTGCTCTTGGGGCTAAAGCATCCAATTGTGGGACTTTTCTTGCTCCCAGACTGGCCCTCTATTGGGTTGAACTTGCTGAAGCACCCAGGGGACTCTGACTCCAGTTGGTAGGTCAAGTTGTGGAGGATGCATGTACAGTTCTCAACAGACTAGAGGAGAGCAGGGGAGAGGATAAAAACTGTTTATCTTCTAATCACAATTCTCACAAATAGTACATTAAAAGGTCTTATTCTCATATTTGTGTCCAAAATGAATATGGGTCATAACTCCATAGAATAGCAGTGGTACTTTCTGAATAACCTGCCATATGTGTACACATTTTCCAGTTTGAAGAGTAATACAATATTAAAATATATTTCTTGTTTGCAAGTTTCTCAATTGCAAAAATAAAAGAACACACTATGCACTTCTCATTCACTATATGACAAAGGAAGGCCCCATTTGTGGTTTAATGTCTTACATCTGGAACAGAAACATTACCATGCTTACCAAAATATATACAAGTTTAAGTAAATTCAGTTGTCATTTAGTTAATGAGGCTTGATGATAAAATGATCCTTAATCAAACAGTCAGTGAAACACAATGAAATGAAAACATAGAGCTAAGACAACAGTTACCGTTCATTCCAATAAGATGAGCTGACACAAAATATATTCTCCCTCTGTCTCTCACACCAATCCACTACTTCATTTAAAGAAGCCTGTGTAAACACTGCACTATCACAGACATGGAATTAAGCACACGTCCACACCCAAAACTTCCACAAATGAGCAGGTTCACATACAATCCGCTAAATATATACACATGCTGACTCCGCCTGCAGTATTTACCTGCTTATACATGTGTGTATTTATGGATGTGTTGATGGGATGTGTGAAGCTATGTGTACTTGTATACACTTGTATACAAGTACACTTGTTCTACTAGAACTAAACTAGAGTACGTCACCAGATATGAATCCAACCATAGCTGTTTTAATTGATACTAGTTCCTCTCTGTAGCCCCTTGGCAGTGGGGCTGTGACCCAATGTTATATTGTTATATAAAATAGTGAAAATGCCAGTCAGATTAAAATGATATAGAACAGAGTAAACCAGTACAACCTCAAACTTGTGAAGAAGTAACCAATAAATCAATAACATTCTACACAATTAATCGACAATCAAAATAAGTAAACAAAATAGTTGCTGATTAATTTTCTATTGTGCAGAGCCATTCAATTTTAAGTCCTCTATTAACTAATGCTAGCGGTGGATGGGAAAAGGTTCTGTTGATAGAGATGAGAAAGCTTACCCGGTCATCTGGGTTTTCTTCTGCCACACAGGACTGGACATAACTCATGAGGGAGTCGATGAGGCCTCGGCACTCTCTCATCTCCTGCCTCTCCTTCTTGTCGGAGCTGCTCAGGTTCCTACACACAATTCAATCATTCCTTTAAATCCATGTGGAAACACATTCAGGTTCTAACATATCTAGAATATAATAGCAGGAACAGAACTGAGTGCCTCAGTATGTAACTTGCACCATCACACACCCTGTTAGCAAACTTGATCATGGTGATTAGGCACGATGTGCACAGTTGTTTCCAAAGCACGATTTTGCATAAGATGTTTACATTAAATTACTTCCAACTTAGTAAAACAGTTCTCTTGCCTGATTGATCTAAATCAGGATGTAATCCTTCAATGTAGATAAAACCTATCACATAGAAAACCTTTACAGGCGCTGGATCAAGAACAACAATAAAAGGCAGGAATAAAAAAAAAAGAGCTTCTAACGGTAATGATGGGTACCAATACATTTAACTCACTAGAGCAATGTATTATTATGTATGTATTATAATATTATATATACAATATACTATTTTATAGCGATTTAACACCATAAACTGAAAGTACAAGGAACTCCTCACAAAAGGAGAAACTGAGAATTCTTGGTATTTTTCAAGGCATTTAATTTAAACAAAAAGATTTCTGTGACATGACAAACGTTGCTCTATTTAATGAAACTAATTATAAACTATCGGGACAGTGTGCAGGTCTTTCAAAACAAAATGTGAAATTCAGCTGTTTAGAGTCACAGAGGCATAATCTTGTCCTCACCGCAGGCACCCTGTGGCACTGTAGAAGACATCAGGGTGTATGTTGTTGTTGGTGCTGTTGTCTGACCAGCAGGTGAATGGCACCACCACATTCTCAGTCAGGGCGGGCAGTGCTGTAGCTATAAGTTCTTCCTTCAAATCATCAGCGGAGGACAGGTTCCATAGCAGGCCTTCGTAATGCAAGACAAGTAAAATTAAAAGCATTAAGGTTAGGGATAGGGCAAATACTTTTAAAAGTAAACCTTTCTACCCAACGTTTTGAGGTTATGTCCCAGTAAAAAGGTCTTACCAGTGATTTGTTTCTGGGTTTCGGTAGAATCTACCTCCTTCAGGAGCTGCAGGGCCTTAGCTATACCGCCACAGTGTTGAACCTCCAGCTTGTTCTCATGGTGCTTGAACACCAGGTTCCTCAGAGCTCCAGCAGCGGCCTGGCTCACTCCAGGGTTGGGGCTTCGCAGCAGGGTCACCAGAGCAGGGATACCTCCTAGTTGCAAAACCTGTGACACAGAAATGTGGAGGGAACAGGTGTTGAACAACTACACTACAACTGCAACAGCACAAGCAGCCAAGTGCGATGATAATTTCTTTCTCCTCCCTTTCCCTCACAAAGATCTTCATAGAGCGCTCCACCAATTGTACCACCACTACAAGACAATCCTCACACGAGTGTGATGTGAAAATAAACAACAGTGCAGTGCATGTGTGCATGTTTGGAGGGTGTGTCTGTGCATGTTAAAAACAAGCATTTTACAGTTTATTAGCGTGCAAGTGTTGGCCCGGACCTCCTGTTTGGTGTGCTCTTCTTTGTAGGTGGCGTGTTGGATGAAGGTGGCTCCACACTGCTGGAAATTCTCCTCAGGGTGAGACAGGAACTCCACAGCCTCCTTAAGGGTCAGGTCTGGCATGGCCATTGCACCGCTCACCCTGCAGGAAGGTTGGGAATGAGATACTAAATCAGTTTCATGCTACAAGCTCAGTAAAAAGAATGGATATGATTTAATGTAGGAAATAGTTAAAAGTAACTAACAATATACTCAGGCAACAAGGACAACTAGACTCCAGTTTCCAACAAAATAAGCTGTATGGAGAAGCTATTACCATAAGACTGATTATGATTAATATGTAAAATACTTGATTACATAAATGTGCCTATAATATGTAACCCATTTACATCATTCAGCTGTATCCTGTACAAGTATAATGTTCCACATCTCAACCCCTTCTTATTTCCTGAAAATGTCAATGAAAACAAAGTCAACTCACGCTGATTGCTGCTCTATCTTGTTTGACATTTTGATGGTACCCATCCTGCCGTCAGTGTGAGACTGTGCAGAGGGCGGTCGAATGATGCGTGTCTGGCTGCTGGTCATCTGAGAGCCGTTGTTTATTGAATAGGAGCTGTGTCTATTTACTCGAGTCTGGAAGCTGTGCTGGTTTTGGACAGTCTGCCCTTTGGCTCTCTAAAAAAAAGAAATTTAAAATGCTTTTACAATACGGTTCTGTGAAGTACTTGCAGTCTTTATGTTATTTGTTTGAAGTATTGGTTCCCTAAAAACCACATGAATGATGATTACCATAAAAGTTGCAGGAGCAGGAGCAGGAGAGAACGGAGGAGCCAAGGCAGGGTCACTGCGACTGGGTTTCAGCCCATTGGGACTTTTGGGCCAGGTGGAAGCATTGATTTGATGTTCCCACATGCCTGAGGTACTGACATGTCTTCCTCCCGTGGTCTTACTGGATAGAGTGCGACTCCTCTGAGTATTAAACTAAAAAGAAAGAATGTCTTGCTCAGGAGGGTTACTTACATAAAACACAAAGCATCTGCACAATATTTTATTCAGATTATTCAGAGGGTGAAGTGAGTGAGTTGCAATCTGCAAATACACCGCTGTATGCCACTAAATCCTACACATTGGACCTTTAAATTAGTTAATTTAAAAAATATTTTCATAATGAATTGTTTTCAGTTAAGAAAGAAATCCCAAATACTCTGATTTCAGCTTCTCCAATATTTTGTGGTTTCTTTTCCTCCATGACGGTGAACTGAATACAATCTAGGCCACCAAAAAAAAAGAAAGTAGCAAACCAACTTTCCACAGGAAGAGTTTTCAAAGAGATCCCCTGTAAACTAAGACAGAGGAATTTGACCTGACACAAAGCTTGCATACCTATTCTTTTGATCCTTTTCATCCGTTAACGTTAAAGGCAACAGAATTCACCAAATAATCACACCGACCACAGTAACAGAATACCTCATTGGTCATTGGAGACCAACTCAAGCAGTTGTGTTATAAGACTGCCGGTGCAGTTGAGCAGTTTCTCACAGAGGACCTTTGTGTGCATGTCAGACACAGCACCCGTTAAACCTGTCTTCACAATCCTGATGTCAAGAAATGGCCTAATCTCACGTAATTATGCTTTATTTATGAATCAATTTACTTGGACTATTATATATTTATTTTTCTTGACTTCGCCTGTGTGTGCTTGTGTTTGTGTGTATGCAAAAAAACTATTAAAGCTTTGCCACAAAGTAACTTGTCATAGCCTGAGCAAAATGACAGAACATGTCTCTTGCTAATACTTCAATGATTAGTCACTCTGGTAATTAAACCATTGTCTCCAATTGGCTTATTTGAAGAATGACATTAGAAGAACACTCCCATCAGTCATTTAACACTCTGGGAGTTAGTGAGAAGGATAATGTGCACCACTGAGACAACGAACCCTTCCCTTTCTTCACCCACAAATCATGAACATCACAGCTCTAGAACAATTTTCTCACAATTTATTACTGCAGCTGACATGTTGACATTGTGATTCGGGGACTTTATCAGGAAGGCATATTGGCTAATGGGGAAGAAAGTAGCACACACACGCATTGTACTTTTTGTGTACCGACTCTCTTTCCTGTTTCAGCGGGCTGGTTGCCCAGTTACCAGCCGTCTGTCAGCCCTGCTACTCAGCAGCAAAAGCGTGATGCAGGAGAGATCTGTCGCCAACAAGTTTGATAATGTTGGCACAAGAGGCTGCCTTTTCCTTAAGATTCCTGGTTAACAGGAGTAATCAACTGAAGTTGCCGACAGTTTTTCAACTTTAACGACAGAATCACAACTCTTTATAGCCTGGCTCGTCCACAATAGGTGGACTGCCAGTTGAAAGACGCAGCACACCAGGGTTAATGGCTAAACACAGGACTGTTCAACCTCTGTTAATATTAACGTACAGACGTGTTTATATTGTGGTTATGATGTTGTAGATGTTATCACTGATGGTTATGATATGATTATCGTAGGTTTCGTCTGTAACTGTAGTCTTTGAGACACCGCTAAGGTGATGTTAGTTAATGCTATGCTTCACACAGACATTGTCTTTGCATGCATTATAATTTGGCACCATTGATCTGAGATCACACACACACACACACACACACACACACACACACACACACACACACACACACACACACACACACACACACACACACAAACACACACACACACACACACACACACACACACACACACACACACACACACACACATCTCAATGCGGCTTTAAACCTCAGCACACGCAGGAGGAGAGGTACCTCAAACCTCGCACATTTCACATGTTCCTTGTGTCTGACCAACACGTGTTTCATGCTCAGTTGAAACATATGGTCAGAGTGAAAAAAGACACCCATCTTTTCTGGGCCGCAACCCCCCATGTGCACCCACATGTACACCTTTTTTTAATACGTTTAGTTCCTTTTAGTTAGATTGTATATTGTATGTTTTGCTTTTATTATCTTTTAAATAAATGCATGTGTTTATACATGCCTACATAGTTTAGTGCCCCTTTAAACCCTTGTTGCACCAACAAATGGTGCGGCTGTGTTCACCATAGCACCTACAATAAGAACTGACTGTATGTTTACTCTCAAACTGCTGCATGCTCCCTTCATTTGGGTACAGCCTGAGTGAGCCACCGTGGCCTTCCTTATTTCACGGGCTGGATAGGAGACAGATGCAAATTCAACAGAACAAATACAGGCAGCATGGAAAAACAACAGGATGCTTCTTTGTCTTATTTGGGAACATAAATTAAATAAGAAATACTAAAATATTACTTTATTTATTGCTATTATTTAGATAGGGAAATAAATTACTGATGCAGCAACACTGTAGAATATGACTAACTGAATGATATGATGTAAACGGCTTCCACAGTCTATGAAGTGCCACCAAATAGAAAACTTCATAGTTTACTTTAATATTTCTGGTTGTATTACTCCATTGTGCATAATCTTGCAAATTAAGCAGGACTGTTTTTATATATATATATACTTTATATATCAGTTTTAGTATTTAGTGGGGAGAGATGTCACTGCTCTTGCCAAGTGTAATTTCTCTTCCAAAGCATCGGATCGTTCATGACCAACAGCACAAAAACACTACAAACCAAAAGCTAAAAAATATGAGACTTGTTGAAATGGTTTCTTTTACTTTAACATTATAGCTCTCTGTCAAAGTTTCATTTATTTGCTGTTATAGCTCTGCAAGGCATCTTTATCAGGCAACGTAAGTGTTAAAGGTCCAGTGTGTAGGATTTAATGGCTACTAGTGGTGTAGTTGCAGATTGTAACTCACTTGCTTCACCCTACCACACGCAAAACGCAAACGCCCCTGTCTAGTGCCAGTGTTTGGTTTGTCCCTTCTGGGCTACTCTATAAACATGGCAGTTCAACATGGTGGCTGTAGATATAAACAGTTCATCCTAAGGTAGCAAAAACATATTCCTATATTCAGGAGATTATACACTAACGAAAACATGGTTATGCATATTATATTCCATTTCTGTCAATAGATCCTCCTGAATGTTACTAGACCTTGAACAAAAACACAATGTGATGCATCAGAGATGTATTTCATGATGTGATGATTATGAATAGTCATCAACACGCTTCCTTGACATACCTCAACTCACTGTCAGTAGATCATGTTAGGCCAACCCAGAATAAATACATATTCTGACACACACACACACACACACACACACACACACACACACACACACTCACACTCACACTCACACTCACAACCACACTGATGTCAACATTACTGCTCTGTGGAATTTTGGTTAGTGCACCATTGCAAATGAGTTGAACACACCCTGACTTACTGACAACACTCAAACTGAGAATGACATTCAAAATCAGTATTTGTTAATTTCCAAATTCAGGAAATCACTCACCACGCCTGGCTGCTAGATACCGAAGTATGTCCTATTAATTGTTGATTATACAAAAAAAACAAACAACCTCCCACTCCCTGCCCCCAGATTTCATGTTACACACACACACACACACACACACACACACACACACACACACACACACACACACTCGCTCAAATGTAATGAAAGGTAATTAAATTGAAAGGTGATGATGGAGAAATAATACTGGTTTAGGATTTGTGCCTCAACCGTTGTTTTATGGTATAATGTTACATAAAACAATGTCGTACATCACCATGCTAAAACATACATTTATACCTATTGATACACTCTGTGATTCTGATACTGAGCTAAACATGGTAAAATGTTGGCATGTTTAGCACATAACTCCTCATAAAACCACAACTTTTATACTTTTATATTTTTGTGTGGATTAAACAAACAAGATACAACGTGTTAATTATTGAGCTTTAAAGATGCTGGTAGGCAGATTTTGACCTTTGGACAGAGCCAAACTAGCTGTCTCCCCCTGTTTCCAGCCTTTATGCTAAGAAAACAAAAACTAATCATTCCTTTAAATTGTTAAAAACCTACAACATTAAAATTGATCAGCAGTAATGTACCACATTAGTAACATATAAGTATTTGTGCCTGCAGTAAAACCACTGATCTGGTGTTTTAATTCTGAGTCTGTGAATGGGAAAAGTGTTCGTTAATTATCTGTGAAACTGGTACATGAGAGAAACAATTACCGCTTTGTTGAAGCCGGTTGACACAGTGGAATTGATGCGGCTGAAGGTGCCATTTGATTTGGACGGAGAAAACTTGAACGATCCAAAGTCATTCATCAAAGACTGAGAAGACGGGCCTGTGAGAAAGAGGAGACATAAGAGAACTGAAATGAACAGAGAGAAGAAGAACGCAAGAGAGGCAGTCAAACAGAGCGAGATGTTACTAAGGGTGCTATGACAAATAACAAAATCTGATGCAATACAGATAGACGTTGTCATGGTGATAATGATATAAACGGTACAATGAACATTAAACACACCGGCAGGACAGCACAAATGTGTTGTTGTAAACCCTTTATGTGGGCTTCAGGTTTCCACAAGTTTCACAATGTGTCCACATGTTTATGGTGGACCTCCAGTTATATATAAAAGTAATTCATTTAACTGATATTCAATTGGACAATGAAAAGAAGGATTTAAAGACGAAATGAATAAACAAATGCACAAATATATAAATCAAATTCAATAATGCATTGATTTAATATTTTGTAAAACATTTGATTAAGTTTAACCAAATCTCTGACTAAACATCAATAACTCAGATGGTCAATAATTTGAGCTTTGTTGGAAATAAGAAAATTCTTGTGTAAACTAATTTATTTAGCATTCTTTAGTTGTTCAATTCATTGCCAAGTAATGAAAGGCTAATACTAATGTCGCTCTTTATTGGTTTAAATTGTGATATGCATGACTGCCAATTAGTCAGACAGAAAGACAGACTTGACAATGTCAGTCCCAGTTAGTGGGCTTTGTGCTAAGCCTTTTTAAGTTTAGGCAAATCCAGCAAACACACTTAGCCTACATGCTTTATCACCTTCGTCTGTCTGCCTTGTTGGGTGATTCACGGGAACGTGAGACTCACTGCCACATAGTGCCAAATCCACGACTGTGACTTCACCATTACAAGATTATGGTTGTCAAAACAATGGCAAACTCATCATTACACCATCATTGCACCATTTCGGACCATCCCAAAGAATAAAGAGCTTCAGTCAGTCAGTTCACTACTATAAACTATGTAGTATATATATAGAGAGAGAGTGTATATATACACTATATAACATGCTATCTACTCTAGCAGATTATAGTAATAAAGGAGTGTTAGGTTTAGTGATGTCCACTGCCACTCCAACACAACAGAGGTGAATGCTTCAAAAAACTCAACAGCAATATGTCTTTCTAGTAACAGTGGACAGGATAAGTCTCGGTCCTCACTGTGGACAGTTTTAATAGAGCCGATTTCTGAGGAAGAAGCAGTTTTAGTCGTATTGCACACTGAAAATGGCATATGTGCATTTTTATTCCCTTCTGCTGAACATAGAAAATGAAGTATCTATAAGAAAAGTCTCACTGATTTGGATTAACAAACTCTTCATCTGGATGAGCAATTTAATTCTTTGAGCATAAACAAAAATCCAATCACTTGCATTGTGTTGGGTCAGCAGAAGGAGTCTGTATCTCTTGACAGCACTCGGGATAATAGTGAGAATATATGCCTTTTTGAAATTTGGTTGACTTGCCCCTTTAAACGTGACAGAACAGAGTTGGTCTCGGCTGTAAGAATCTCCAGTGGCAAAGACCCAGCTAATATCGGACATTTACGTCATTGTCGCTCCAAACGCAGTCAGTAAATCAGACAGTTTTGGACAAACCAGAAACTTTAATACTACTGTATGTGACTCAGAAACACTGATAAATGCCTCAGGGTTTGTGTGCAACTTTAACCTTGGGGTTGTATTTCTTATTATTCAGTGTTTGTCTACTGTTATGTGTTTAGTAGACATTCGCCCTGAGCGAAGTATGCCCTCTCAGGTCTTCATCTGACTTTTAGAAGTTTAGTTTTCTTCTAGTTTCTTTTGACAATTAACTTTCTTGACAAATAAAGACTCAAACGGAGAAACCAATTTCAGTTTTCAGATCATTTTGTAGCTCTCCATGCTGTTGAACAGAGATGATAAAGCATTTATTTTCAGGCCCAGCCTTTAATGTTTAAAGTTTTTGTTTTCCTGGAATCTACCTGGTGTGACTGGGCTACATGATGAATTACAATAACATTTGAAGGCCAATTTTAAACAGGCCAGAGGTGTCCTTATCATCTGCGCCACAATTTCATAATCACTTGAAGGTCAGTCAAAATGTCAGTAAAACAGTAAAAAAAAAAAAAAAAAAAAAAGCACACAGATAGTATAGCATACCTTACAGATTACTAACAAGTTCTACTGATGATCCTGTTTCCACGTAACAACCATCTCACCCCAACAGGAAGACTCGCTCACATTTCACAAGATCAAAATATTCAGCTTTTCAATTCTGGTGGATCTTCATAAAGCCTCTTGCAGTAATGCCAGGCACCAGAGCTGTTTGGAAAGACTAAAATGTAATGTTCTAAATGTGTGCGTGGGCTTTTGTGGGCACATGGGCTGCATTCCTAACTCACAGAGGGGTTGAAAAAAAGACAACTGTGGAGCAAAAATCACTTTCTTTCAGTCAAGGATCACATTTCACACGGGTGATAGGGCCTATTCAACACACCTCTGATACCTACTACTGTCACCTTTAAAGGCGGACCCCGCCCCAACAAAAACAACAAAACATTAAATCCTGAGCGTCACTGGGGTTTCCACCTGAAAGTCTCACACTATACAGCAGCTTAGCCTGGAAGCAGCCGAAGTGTAAAATCCCACTTCTAGCCTACAAAAAGAAAGAATACTGGAGCGGTGTGGTTTACACGCATTAGTCGGATTAAACACGCAGCGCAGGACACAGCATGTTCAGCCTGTTTGATGGATGCAGCTGATATTGTTGGGGACGTTGTGTGACGCAGGACACAAAAAAAGCTTCTAATATTAACAAACAAGTGTAAAAGTAGCTCATACATTAGGACGCCTGAAAGTCAGCATGGCAAATAACATTACCACATATTTGTTTTGTGCGGTATTAACATTATGAAGTTGTAGAAAAGCCCTTTTCCATACTTGTAGGAGACAGCGAGCCGCTCTTCCCGGGTTTGGACTTGCTCCTCTTGATGGTGTGCACCTGATCCAGCACGCGCTGCTGTCCCGAGCGCAGCTTGTTGTCGGAGGGCAGAGCGAGCGACGTGTCCTCCGCGCCCAGGCTCGTCATCGCGGATCTCAGCGGCTCCGGAGCCATCATCTTCCTACTTCGGTGCCCTTCTTAAAAATGAAAGCTCGAACCAGGAATCTGAAGGGGGGGAAAAAGGGCGCAGAACTGGAAGAATCGTGCTGTTCGGCTGTGCGCAACGAAGTTCGTGCCAAAAATGCAGAAAAGCTGAAATATTCCCAGAGCAGCGGCTGGTGAGCTCCACCTTCAGGACCGCGCCCCTCCGAGGTGGGACCGAGGACAGGCAGGTGCCGAGTGATGGGAGGGGCCCGGGCAGACGTTACAACTGCTGCAAGGAAGGATTAGCAAAAACTACACAGTCTATACTTCTACTTTACTTTAATCTATGCAACTTTATTCTTCAGTATTGTATTTTTACTCCACTGCATTAGTCTGCCCAGCTTTAGTTAGGCTACTTTACAATTCTTATACCTTTACTGTCCAGTGAAAACCACGTGTCTCCAAATTTGGTGACTTTATGATAAATTAAAGGATTGTGTTTCTTTATGGGTTGAGAAAATTCCCACACTTCTTAAGCGAAATAAACCATTTAAAAATACCTTAGCCCTCCTAGCTGGAAAATAAATGCATTGTCACAAAGCTGAGAACAGGACGTTTTTCCTAAAAAAGAAATATAATACAAAGTTGACTTTTAGACTTTCTTTTACAATGCGTTGCTGTAGATGAAACTACCAAACTACCACTACTAACAGAAGCTTATATATAAAATAGTTAGTGATAGCAAATAGTAATAATTTGTTGTTAATTAGCATAACAATAAACCTATACAGCAGTAAAATGAAAAGTATACATTAATGCACCAATAGTATATATTTATTATATATAAAACACACATCATAGCCTATAGAATGGTAAAATATCAACATGGACCATTTTTCTGCATAATACTTTTACTTTTGACACTTTAGGTAGACTTTTACTTATTTCCACAGAGTGGTATTGCTTGGTGTGTCCATTTTATGACCCGCTTCATTACTGAGAGACAGCTGCACAAGTTACTCTTCAGATTAATATGTTATATACAAAACTTCCCATAGACGTGTGCCAGAGCTTTATAGATAAGTTTCCAACTCCTTAATAGAAACACATTTTGTGTCCTAATAAAACAATTGTATGGTATATTTTCCTTTTTAAGAAGTTATTCAGCATAATGAGTGCTTTTACTTTTGCTAGGCCTTCTAAAGTAATCTCTGTTGATACTTTGATACTTGTAGGCAGATTTTGACCTTTGGACAGAGCCAGACTAGCTGTCTCCCCCTGTTTCCAGCCTTTATGTTAAGATAACAAAAACTAATCATTCCTTTAAATTGTTACTGAAAAAAGGGCTAAAGAGAAAAAAACATTTAAAAACCTAAAACATTAAAATTGATCAGCAGTAATGTACCACATTAGTAACATATATGTATTTGTGCCTGCAGTAAAACCACTGATCTGGTGTTTTAATTCTGAGTCTGTGAATGGGAAAAGTGTTCGTTAATTATCTGTGAAACTGGTACATGAGAGAAACAATTACCGCTTTGTTGAAGCTTGTTGACACAGTGGAATTGATGCGGCTGAAGGTGCCATTTGATTTGGACGGAGAAAACCTGAACGATCCAAAGTCATTCATCAAAGACTGAGAAGACGGGCCTGTGAAGAGAAGACATAAGAGTACTGAAATGAACAGAGAGAAGAAGAACGCAAGAGAGGCAGTCAAACAGAGCGAGATGTTACTAGGGGTGCTATGACAAATAACAAAATCTGATGCAATACAGATAGACGTTCATGTCATGGTGATAATGACCACGTTCAGACTGCAGGCAAAAGTGGCCCAAATCAGTAGTGTGAACACTCAACTCTTGCCCAGATCAGATTTTTTCAAATCAGATTTAGACCACTTCCATATGTGATCCTGAATCAGTGTGCAGTGTGAACAACCAAGGCAATTATGAGCCGGTTTGATTTAATATTTTGTAAAACATTTGATTAAGTTTAACCAAATCTCTGACTAAACATCAATAACTCAGATGGTCAATAATTTGAGCTTTGTTGTAAATAAGAAAATTCTTGTGTAAACTAATTTATTTGGCATTCTTTAGTTGTTCAATTCATTGCCAAGTAATGAAAGGCTAATACTAATGTCGCTCTTTATTGGTTTAAATTGTGATATGCATGACTGCCAATTAGTCAGACAGAAAGACAGACTTGACAATGTCAGTCCCAGTTAGTGGGCTTTGTGGTGAGCTTTTGTAAGTTTAGGCAAATCCAGCAAACACACTTAGCCTACATACTTTATCACCTTCGTCTGTCTGTCTTGTTGGGTGATTCACGGGAACGTGAGACTCACTGCCACATAGTGCCAAATCCACAACTGTGACTTCAAAACTTTTACTTATGTATAAATTCTGGTGACTTGTTGCTTCGACTCCGTAGCAGCTTTGTATTGTGTCCACTCCTGTATGTGCTGATTTAGCTATAATGATAATTTGTAGTAGTGTTCAAATTCAGTAATGCATATTAGATGTATTTATTCCCATAATGGGCACTGCCTCACAGTCTCCCTTGATTCCTTATCATTATTAGTCATATAACATCGTCACAGCAAAGATTCACATGTGAACTAGGAACAGGTGTTACTAATAACATTATTCAATACATATTCGCCACAGTCATTTGTACCAGGCCCTGAAACCGAGGCAGGTAAATAGCCGTCATTCATTTTATGATTTACACATTTGCTTTTCCTACTGTGGAATGCAAAAACAATCTATTAAAAGAAACACCACACATTACCTCTGGCCTAACGCACAGTGGGTTGGATTCATGCCTTGAACTAAGTATTTTGGAAATGTGGGTTTTTTGACAAGATTACTGCACACTGAAATTGATTTGTCAATTAAGAGTAATTCTTTAAATCTTTAAGTTATTACATTTCAATAAATAAAGTAATAACATTTCACATATTACCATACTTTGTTTCAGAGTGAATGCCACCACTACATATGAGGTGCACAATGGATTCAGAGAACAGCAGCTTATATTCCAGTTTATGATGGTTCATCAATGCTTTAAAAAAAGAAAAAGTGTAACTTTGACTGAAGTTTATCCACCCAAAATCTGACTTCTACAGTAACATCTGAGATAGTTTAATAGACATAATACACTTATAGTTTTGTGTGTTAAGAGCAGGGATTGGTGAACTATTTCTCTCCATAATTACTGAGCTCCATATCCATTAGAAAAGCCCAATCTATTGATGTGCTCATGTTTCGTGATACTAATGATATCATACCCCTGCTGTCTGTCCTGATTCACTCCATAAATCTGCCGGGTACAATTACAACAACTTAAAATGTATCACAATATGGAGTCCCAACAACTGCAACCTGAGAAACATATTATCTGAAATATACAAAAAATACTAATCAGTGACAATAATGTGCACAAAGGAAACACATTTTTATGGTTTTGTCTCCAAATCTAACTCTCAGAACTTTATTTTTTATTTATTTTTTGCCGCTGTCTTTCTGGAAAAAAGTCAGAATCTTTTTATTTTTAAAAGACAAAACATAAAACAACTCAAAGCGTACAGAATATTTTCCCCTAAAATGCAAAGAAAGCCACAGAAAAGCCACTGAGCTAGATCATCATGGTTTTTAACTCCAAATCGCTTTGCATGCTTCAGTCAGATACCCTGCACACTGTTGTCTCTGGGTTGGATTAGGCTGGACTACTTTTTATTATGTGATATGTATCCAGGGAAATTGCTGAGGACAGAGTTGAGACAGGTCAGGGCCTGAGCAAGTGCAAGGTAACCTGAGGAGACAACAAAGAAACAGAAGGAATCTGAAAGAAACAGACAGAGATCGATGAGGCAAAGGAAAGACAGGACGAACAGAGAGGGGGGAAGAAAGTAATAATACGAGCACATGTCTAACCTGATCATTTTGGCTTAGTTTCTGCAGGTGACATTTTCCCACCACACCCTTTTACCTCAACCCTGCTGAGGTAATAAATGAATGTCATGCGTGTAATGTACCTGTGATGTGTGTGTGTGTGTGTGTGTGTGTGTGTGTGTGTGTGTGTGTGTGTGTGTGTGTGTTTTATGACAATGTAAGTCAATTGGTACATCCCTACCAGAACTTTTATCTGAGAGAGGCGAAGAAACCTGAATCAGACCTTTGTTTGATCTACTGATTGTGTAAATTCCTCCACCGAAGTGAAAGTATAGGCTCAACACAAGGCAGTAAAGTTTGATTAGACTTGATGTCTTAAAGGCTAGAATGAAAAAAGACAGATCATGTGTAGATTTTAAACCAGATTGAAGAGATATTAAAGTGACTACAATGTGAAACTAAAACCTTTATGAGTGAGATACAGCCATGAACAACCTATTAACTATGTTAGCTATATTCCTGCACTGCTGTGATGCCCGCAGGCTCATGTGGTACAAACCACACCCAGCCTGAGGGATTTATGTGTGTGTGTGTGTGTGTGTGTGACTGTTCACAACCTGCAGTTTTGGCAGCATGGCATTGGTAAGTCGAGCCTTGGCAGACAGATAACACTCTGACTAATGTCTGCTAACAAAAGAGCCAAAACAGTGGGTGTGAGGAAGTGAACAGATGTACAGGTTGTTCATAACCTTGACAACGTTACACCTAGGACATCCGTATGAAGCCAGATGTCACTCTACAGCTGTGCCACATTTTCTGCATGCTTGGGCCATGTTGTTATGTTAAAATAAAAGTTAAAATAAAAGTTAAAGTGCTCAAACACCTCAAATCCCAAGCAAATGGGTTGCATGGAGTGAGCATTGTTAGAACCACTTTAGAGTTTGGACGCACAGACGCACAGAACATGTGTCAAGTCATACCTAATAAAACCATATAACTACTCTTATGACTTACACATTGTATATGTCCCTTTGCCTTGGAAAGTTGCCAACACATATATTTACCAGAAGTTGGAGCTTTCAGGTTTATTCACAGGCATACACACCCACACTATACAAGTATAGTTTATAGGCTTAAAAAGGATGTGTGTTATATTTACATTAAGACATATATGTGGCGTAATCTGGACGGATAAGACAGCTTTGTTGTTGATAAACATAAACCTTTGCCCTACACAAGCAGTGCAGTATTGTGTGTAGAATCTGTAGCCTAGTAGTAGAGAAAACACAAAATAATCTAATCCTATAGCCATCAATTATTTTAGTAAAAGAAACACCAAACAGAAACAATGAATTATTTAAAGTCACACATCAGTCTGTTTGACCCTTGTATATTTGTTACAGCTATTATTTTTTTCTTCAGTATTGAGAAATCATAACATTAATTGCTTTCAGTACAGTAAACTGTGCTTAAACATATAAACTGGCTGTTGTGTGAACGTAACACCAACAAGGTTATCCAACTGTGACAGGGAGGCCTGGTATGTGTGAGTGAGTAAAGAGACACAATGACTGGGTGAGGGCATTAATGTAAGTATGTCAAGGTAAAGACTTGAGATGACAGCTCTGTATCACACCAGACTCTGAACTCATCTATCCACAGGAACAACTTCTGTAAAAAATGAAGTGACAGCACCACCTAGTAGGCCAAATGAGAATTGCAACCTACGTGGCATTAACTTTGTGTGTATGACAGAAAGAGTATAATTCATCCGAGATAACAAACGTCATTATAACTGTCCAAGCGGCTGTAACGTTGTGGAAAACCTGACTACTCAAGTCCCTATAGACCTTTTTCACAGCAGCCATTTTGACATGAAATAGTGGGGTAAACACTGGTGTTACCAATTACACTAATTGGGTTCTGTACCATTTAGTGTAGCAAAGCCTTTCCACTGAGCCAACATGCACAACAGCAGGCCCCTGACTCTGTTTGGCCTGAATGAAACAGAACCTTAATTAGTGTCATTGGTAAAACAACTATGTTTACCCTAATGTATTAGTTCAAAATGGCTGCTGTGAATAAATTGCTACTGTGAAGACAGAAAGGGGGAAAACATACAGGAGGAATAGGTATTATTTCACAGCACTCAGTCAAAAAAAAAACACCAAACAGGTGGGGACTGAAGCAGCTAAATGGAATTCATCTATTTATTTTCTCATTTACACATGTGCTTTTTTTCCTATGGAAAAGGCCTAAGGCTAAATATTGTTTTGATAGTAGTGCCTTAACAATGGAAAACATTGGGGGGGGATTTAGACCAGAAAGTGTTTTAATTTATTTTCTCATATTTTGTACTCCAAAAGTATTGAGGATGATTTCTTCTCTCATGCAATTGTTTAAATGTTATTATGAAGACTCTAAAGGCTGCATAATTGCAAACTGCAAACACCATGTGATTTTATTGGTACAGCATAAAGGCACAGATTTAATTCACTGAACATACTTGACCAAAGGAGTGATGAGGCACAGCCAACCAGAGTACACAGGAAAAATAAAAGAATAACAATTTTGGCTGACCAAACAGTGAATATGGTTATTTAAAAACGGAACCAGTCGGCTCTTACTTTAATGATCAAGACAAATCATTGTCACCTTCCACATGGTTAAAGATAATCCTGCCATGAGAGGGCGTGATAGAGTCAAATAACATTTACTATATAAAAAAAAATGCTGGTAGCCACGTGTACCAGAAACCAAAAACATTACATAGAACAAAAGAAAAAAAAAGCAAGTGTAAGCTGAATAATTTGCTAGTGTTATCAGGCAAAAATCTACCCCAGTGCACTGTGGGTGACCTTAGTGTGGTCTGTACCATACATAATTTTGCATACGTCGAAAATGACACAACCGGAACACCCATCATGTATGATGTTTACAGTAACACCTCTAGCTGTGCTGGTAAAATACAAAAAAGATAATTCATCTTTACAAAAACGAGTCTATTTATCTTGTTTTGGCTTATAAACAGTACCATTACAAGTGTAGTGTACACATCCTATACATCAGTGCTCCTCAGGTTAAGGCTTAATGAACCAAAGCACATTCTTATCCCAACTCACGTGGAGGTAGAAATACTGCAGCAAGCCCACACACAGTCTAAGTAAAAACAGTTTGTGTCAATTAACAGTAAAGATAATTCTTTCATTCATAATGCTGCTGACACCCGAGTGTGAACTGAATCTGAAACTGATTGTGAACTATTTTTGTTTCCGAAGACAAGTGAGCCAAACCTCCTTGAGATTTGATCAAAAGAGCTTTCCCTCCACATCCTGTACCACTGGAAACCTTTAAAACAGCAAATACACCTAAAATGATGGCTCTCTTTACACTCCGACACTGTTTCAAATATAAATACAGCTTTTATGTCTTTACATGTAGTGCATAACATTCTGAGAAGAGGTGTACTTTCTTTCGTATAATCCTTAGCGTTTTGATCAAAGTAACTGGAGATCATGATTCCACACTAAGCAGTGAGAGGAGACACCATTATAGGCTCATTCAATTCCTACGTTACAGAGATACTAGAAACTGTAGAAGAAAGAGTCATTGTGGCAGAGTTACATTAACACTGATTAAATGATTTGTTTGCCAACCTATATTTAAACTCGTCTCACATCAGTCACACCTATAAGTAAATGCATATGCTTAGAAAATTCCCTGGAAATGCTCATATTCATTCATATGATGCATGTTATCAGAATATCACATCTTAAACTTCCTCAAATGTAGGTTAGGCCTTTTGCTGGTGTCTTTTATGATGGTTTTTTTTATGTCAGTTAATGAAATCTCTAAAAAATTTAAAAGAAAAGTCTAATACATACAATAAACTGATATTTTGATGCTGACATTGAGAGATGTGCACAATTAGTTTCACAGGGTAAAACATTTCTGTGACTGAATAATTACATTGTATAACATCACAACACTTACTCATAATTAACGCCAAGAATGATAACACGTCTTGTCAAAATCTATAGAAATTAATTCCACTTTAGTGTTTAAGTAACAGGATGTTGTTGTTGAAATGTGTGCATAGTTTGATGGAAATGCATACACATTAAAACAACAGGTGTGACTACAGTGTGACTGTTGGTCTATTAAAAACACATGTGTTTAGAGTAGAGGAGTGGGGATTCTGTGTGTTTGAGCAGGAAATAGTGTTTATGCTGTATGTATCAAAAAAAAAAGTCTGTGGAGAGTCTCTGCATGCACGAAATGTGCTGCTAGTCGTTAACTAGTCGATAAACGTGGTACTGTGCTCCGTGTTCACTAGTGGACACTTCAAACACAAAGGCGATGCACAGCAGAGTCTCCTGAGTTTCTCTGTTGGACACCACCTAGCGAGAGACAGGAAAAAAAACATGGAGGTCAGGATTTAATAATAAAACATAGGAACAAACGCAGTCCAGAGATAGACGTAGGAGATGACAGAGGTGCACAGACACACGCACATACCTGTAGAATGGTGAAATTCTCCAGTACACTGTTCATCATGTATTTCTCCGGCAGGTGTTTGAGTTTGTGGATGAAGTTGATCATATATTCACACATGGGCGAACGATGGATGCGGAACACATACTTCCCTCCTTCCATATGTGCATATTCAGTCTGAATGGGAGGAATACACACATGCATATCACAGTTAAATCACGTGTTAATGTGGTCTGATATGAAACCATTCATGCACATAAGAAAAGAGTTTGTTTTCTCACCTCAACCTTCTCTACCACCTGTTTGCCAAAGGAGCAGACCTTTGTTGAGACACTGATGGTGATGTTTTCTGTTCCACTGTACTGGCTGCTCACTCCATAGAACACGCCAGAACCCTCCTCAATGTCACTGCTCAGGTCCGCCTGAGACATGCCCAAAGATGAACCATGAATGTTAAAAAGAGACAGAAAAGTAGAGGAAAATCTAAGGAAGCCAATACCAAAGACACAGACACCCATCATTATGTATTCCAGCACACATCAGGGATCAGGGTTACTACTGTGACTCTTCAGGCAAAGGTTCAGAATTTTCCTCTGGCTTTAAATCAGTAAGTCTCAGCAAATGCTCTAAACCAGTGTTTCTTAAATGAGGTACTTTGGAGTACTGCATGGGGTACGAGAAATTTTTCATATATTCATTATTCCTAAAATAAATATATTACACATTCAATTAAAAAATGTCAATGCAAGTTTGATAAACCACAATTTATATACAGTACTGCCCTTTTCAATGCAGTCGTTAACTGCCGTAACTGCAATAACACCTCCAGAAAAGAGTTTGGTCATTGCAGTTGCCTCCCTATCACAGAGAATGACAAAGATTCTCAGTGAAGCACACTTCCATGTTTCTCACTAAATTTTAAGAGCAAATTATGAAAAATGACGCAGTTCAATGCAACTATAATGCTGTCTTAGTGTTATTGCGTGATAATAAAAAAATAAGGTTTACCATTAATTTAGTGATAGATTCTAAACATTATGTCAAGTATTAGTGTCTTTACTAATAAATGAGGTGCTGGATTGAACCTCTTATATATAGGCTTTTTTGAACCACTGCTCTAAGCAACACATAAAAGAACTTAAGGTGCATTTCTTGTGTGTCACAATAGTTAAAGGTTCCCTGTGGAGTTTCAGACCTGTGGTAGCACTATGGATCTATTTTTCTATGAGTGGGTGTCAATTTTGTTTGTCTTATGTGAGTGCACAAAGATACAGCCTTCCAGTGGCTTCACACTATTCCACTGATCAACAAGAGGAGCTAACAAGGCATGGCGAGAAAGAAGACTGACTGCAGGCTAGTAAACATGGATGTAAACAATGCAGGATTTAAAATACTTTAAAACTCAGCTTTAAAAATGGTACAAACAATGCACTTTGGTGCTTAACACTGAATGGAAACATAACTTTTGTTTGTTTACAACAACCTTAACTCCAGAGGACACCTTTAAACAAATACTGTTTAACAAGCAACTACCAATGAGGAAGTAATTTCCTGTGTAAACCCCTCCAGCATCACATTGACTTTACTTCCCCCGTGTGGTGTATCACGTTATAACATCAGACTGTAAACAGAGCGTTGTAACACCAACTTAAACCAACAATTTAAGCAATGACTAATAAAATCTGATGTAAAGGCTAAACTGCATTGTAGTATCAAAGTTGTACAATTCAGCAATGATCTCCTGACATCTTGTGATAATTTATCAAATTTGTTGACTTGACTTTTCTGCAGCATGCCTCTCAAAATTCCAGGTTACTAAAAAAAAAAATCTAATCTGGTTTTGTGTACTGACCCAGAACTTGACGAGGAAGAATGCGTTGTGTGGCCCTTTTTCATACAGCTCCTTAAGGCCTCCTTTCTTCTCAGAAAACTTGTCGTAAATCTGCCTCACATCTATGGACTCCAACACAGGGTCATTGTACCCTGGGTTTGATGGGCCAATGTGTACGAAAAGGTGTTTATACTGTAGGAAAGAAAGAGAAGTCATAAGAAAGAGCGGAAAAACGAGGACAAGTTTTATTTTTATATTTTATTATGTATTGTTTATCGTCTGGATGTCTGTACCGTCTCCCTGTCTCTCTGGGTCTCCAGGAAAGCAGAGTACTCCAGTAGCCGAAGTTTTGCTGAGGCAATGGTTCGGTCTTGCCATACAGGAGCTGTTATAGCTGCAGGGCGTGGGGGAGGCAGGGGCTCATAACCTGCCAAACATTTAAACCAGAAAAACACAATTAACATAACAATAATCATTGCTAATGACTAAAAAATAAAAAGTTTGCGTTCGAACTTACTGATAGCTGCAGGGACAGGGGCTGGTAGTGTAGTGTACGGTGGCTGTGCAAAGGGCTTGATGCTGTAAAAAGTGGAGTAGGAACCCAAAAATGAGCAACTGTACCAGTTCTCTCCAATTTTAAACAAACAAATTGCCAGTGATACTTACTCCTGAGAATGTCCAGGCTGTCCTGGCATAGGTCCGGGCCAAAACTAAACACAAAGAAAGAAGGGAGACAGAGCAGATAGTATTACTCACTTTTACCCTGTGGGTAGAAAAGAACAGATGTGTGTGTGTCTGTGTGTTAGTGTCTCACTCTGACTGGTGGAGGGAACGGAGTCTGGGGTTTCATTACACTAGCAGACACAATCTGAGCTGATGAGAGGTTGGCTACTGTCTGCAGTGCCTTGTCTTTGGATACCTGGTCCTGAATGAGGAAAGACAAAGTAATACACAATGATAATGCTCCATCTCGAAGAATCCAGTACAATTAAGGTTAAGGTTCCAGAGTCAGCCAACCTTCAGTCAGCCAATTTAGACAGCAAGCCAGCCAACATGTTATACAGTATTTCAGCATGATGCAGTAACTACGAGGGAAGACAGGACAGAGTGCAAAGCAAATACATAAGGATGCCAAAGCAAGAGGCACACCAAGCTAGCAGGCTAGGAGAGCTAACTGGAGCCATCACCAGTAATTAACTAAAGCCACTAAAAACAAAAGAATAATGAGCAGGAGTTTGGAGTTTGGCAGTAAAACTCCATTGTGGACTAGCAAGTAATGTGATGCCAACCACAAAGCACAAAGCCTGAAGCAGAAAACTGTAGTTGTATAACCAAAACTTACCAAGTTCATGGCCTATGGCAAAGAAGACACATTATTAATTAACTTCAGTACATTCAAAATAAAAGCAGGTCACATAATCACTGTTAGGCAACAAGGGAAAACACCTTGCTAACCACATATAACTATTTTAAGGGACTGCACCCCAAACCTACATTGTCAAACACAGTCATGCTAAGCTAGTAAAAAAAATCTCACATTGACAGGACAAGCTACATCATATTAATCTATACTGACTATAAACTGACATATACCAGGAAATATACTGGCCTTGAAATCTGAACACGTTACTCTCCCCAAATGTCTATTAGAGAGCAGCAATTTAATGCCTTTGGTGCAAAAGTCAAAAAGAACCTTTATTACAGGGCATGGTAAAACCACAAGAAAACGACTTAAACAGAAAAGATACAAAAGGACTGAGGGAAATTTCTTAGAGCGAGAACGTTGAGATCAGAAATGATTTTAAAAAAGAGAAAACTGTCATATGTGCACATGGATGAGGTGCACATTAAAAACTCCCTGCATGTCTGTGTGTATGTAAGCATTCATGTAAAGTACTACAGCCATGCACATGCTTAGGTAAACCATGATGGCTACTGAATCTAATGCAATTATATGTCCAAAGCCACACGCCTTTTAACTGAAATAAATAGATCAACATTACTGCCATGCATTACAAGAAAAACCTCTTTTCCAGATATTATGATACACAAGCACATTCTAAACATCTGGCTTTTGCACTGAGCAACGGCATCAAAATTGGACAAAAAGCAAACTAGTGAGACCTTTAAAGCATACAAGTAGCCTGCCATTCCATGTTCCCACAGCCATTAACACTATCTCAGAGCCCTAATGATGGTATTACAATCACATACCTAATTATTTGGGTGTTCCAAGGATCCTGCCTTAGATGGCTAAAAGGATATGCAACACTTTCTCCTTTAAATTTGTCTATTGTTAATGAAAACAAAATGATGGCCGAAGTTAACTGGTTAGAGTTCTTGCAGTCCCTGTAGCCATGACACGTAGTTAAATTTTAGATTATGTGTACGTCAACGGTGGCAGAACCCTCCATGTACGTACGTATGGAGACTCCTCTTGTACGTACAGTAACGGAGAAGCATAAATCTGCCATAAGCTCTGACAAAGACAAATTTGGTGATTTAATGGGTTAAATTGGATTTGGGCCACATGCAAAGCGAAGCAGCTAGCATGGTAAAGTCAGTGAGAGTGTGTACCTTGAGCTTAGACTGAATGTCACGCGACTTTCTCTTGGCCAAGACTTGCAGGTGACTAGAGACCTGACGAAAGACAGGATGAAGGAAAAAGGAAAAGGAAAGGGAAAGGAGAAGAAGAGGGGATGTGACTACAGAGGGAAGGGAGAGTTGATTAAGCGGGCACCCACCTTGATGCTGGTCTGGTATTCTCGTACCCTCTTACGTGCCAGAACCTGAATATGACTAGACACCTATTGGGCCAGGGTTACCCCCATGAAAAAGCACACATTCACAAGATCATTTAGCAATTTTAAATAGCCATGGTCCATTTATAATCACTTTAACAAGATGAATGGGTAAATGACAACAAAATAAACATATCATGAGGTACATAAGCTGCACCTAGCAAATTCTATTACATCAGAGGTCTCAGACTTGGCTTGGGGCCACTGCTGGTACTGTCATCTGATAGGACGGCCACTTCAATGTCAAGTATTAGAAGAAAGTGCAATGTTCTGCAACTATCTCCATTAATAATATCATACTTAACTAAAATAAAATGCAAACAGCAGTTCCTATACATTGTTATCACCATATCCTCTCATATCATTGTTATGCAGCCAAACAACAAATAAAGCCCCGAAACCTCCTCTCTTATTAACAGATTTCACACATTTGCGGGCACCTTTGACCTGTGCCCTTATTTTGCGTCAAATTAAATATATTTTTAAAAACAGAATTGTGTTTTTGATAATTGTATATGAAAGGGTAATTTAAACTAAAAAAAAAAAATCATGTGGGCTGGATTATATTTTTGACATCATGCCGTGGGCCAGAGGGAGGGGGATGGAGGGCCGGAAATGGTCCTAGGGCCGTCAGTTTGAGACCCCTGAAGTACATAAAACACATGTAAATGTTGCAGTCTTGAATAACATCTGTGCTTACCTGTTTACGTGTGCGCGTCTTCCCTGTTCGTAGCTTGATATAGCGAGCTATCAACTCATTTCGACCTAGAAATGAGAAAATAATGGAAAAATATTGGAATTGAGCACTTAAACCAAGGAATGGAGAATACATTGAATTTGATCCATTTGTCCAATAAGATTTGGAAAGTCTAGAGGAGCCATATGGGAATGGTGTTCCATTTAAATAAGTTTCTTTCACTGGGGGGGGGCACAAAACATGGTTGCTACTCAAATTTAAGTTCAGTCAATTGCCTCTGTTACTGCCGACCCTCAGTATCTTTATTATTATAGAACACCTAGCTGTTAGTAAATGGTCTGTTTATGCTGGTGACCCCGTCTCAAGTCTTGAGGCACGAAGGGCTGTATACTTTTTTAAAATAAAAATGGACAGAATCTGAAGTGTTCATAAACCAAACTGCACAATCTTTACCTTTTTACAAATTACCTAAAATCTGTATCCATTTCATCAACAGAAAATGAATGTTAAAAATCACGAAAGCCACAATTCTGTACCAAATGTAATGATGCTTGATGTTGAGTCAGTTTACATGTGGAGTTTCCAAAGGTTGTGCCATGTTTTCTATCTGTGGTACGTTCACAAAATAGGCCTGCATGTTTTTGATTACAGCACTCCACCAACTGGTGCAACCAATCTCATTTGTTCACTTAAACAAATACGAACCTAAAAAGGCAAAGATGGCAAGAGCATGACTGAATACATCAACATTAGGCCAAACTTAATCAGTACTTGATCTCAAGTCTACTGCAACACAGAAAACCACAGAGGCTCTATTTTGGTGTGTATCGAATAACATTCATCTTCTTAAGTGCAATCATATCACACCTGGCAAGACCCTGAGTCCTCCACGTTTTTCAGCCTAGGGGTCGCAGTGACATTGAGAATATGGCCAAACGTTTGTTTAGGTTGTACTAAATTCAGAGATCAGGCTTTGGTATGACACCAAAGAAGATAAAGATAGATGTGGATATGTTTTCCATCCCCAGAATGCATTTAAAAAGGTAGCCAGCATTATATGAAAGTTTAATGGGACTGCACTTTTAGTGTGTATGTGTGAAGATGGTAGGGTTCGCATAAGTCTACCGCATTCCCACATACACACACAATTACATGGACAGTCAAACTTTCAATTTCTGTGTCTGTATGATACCCTCATTAAAAAGGTCAGCATGTGTTAATTTAGTCAAAATTTGGCCTTGCTCAATGGCAGAGCTCTAAAGTAGAGGGACAAGTGCTGAGAATGGAGGGGAAAAAAGAGAAGAGAGGTCATCATATATAGTTCTAAAATGCGGTCACTACATACTGCATGGTCAGCGCTTTCTTTCTCTGCCTCCCCCAGCTTCAAACCACACCTGATGATCTGCTTGTCTCTAATTGTAACTGGTGAGCAACTCACTATTCACTCTGCTGCAGATGTCAGAATTAGAGACAGGCTTAAGATAAAGGTGGCTATATGAAGCCTTACGGATAGATTCCACTGCTGTAAGTATTTAATCACGCAAACAAATGCTCTAATATCATCAATATCATCCTCCTCCTTTCTGGGAAGTGGTGCGATGCTGTAGGGACTTAGCTCACATCAGGCTGAGTCACATCAGCTTTGTGGAGTTACCAGAACACAGAATTCCCCCAAAATCAACAGGAGGGGCTGACTCAGACCCAGCAGTCTGCTCCAATTCCCAAAACAGGACACATGCATTTCCCTGCAGCCTATCACTACTCTACATATGGCCAACTGCTTCTTCATTAGAAGTAAGGTTCCACTGTAATATGTGAGAATTACACCTTGATACCAGAACACGAGGCGCACTGGAAGATGAGTTAGGAAACATTACATACAATTCATGTTAATTAATCTTTCCTTTTCTTCTTCATCTGCCAAATTAATGAAGTGTTTACCCATTTGATTCAAAATGAAGATTACAGAATTTTCATTAAAAAAAAAAAAGAGAGATAAAGAGAATCAGACAGTGGGCCGGTGAGACGACAAAACTAAACACACTGGAATTTAACTTTATTTGGTCATTATTTCAATAGGGTTACGCAATTAAAAACCGCAAAAAGTAACTGCCAAATATCAAGCATATTTCACTGAGGACCAGTGGAGTCCGACCTTCTCACAGAAGGGTGTGAAGAGGCCCCGCCAGATTTCTGTTTGACAATCTGAATGAGCCTGTCTTTGACCCGAGTTGAGTCAGTTCCCTATGTAAATCGACACCCACCCTAAATGAATTCAACCACATCCTCACAAAAGATTTGATTTAGTCCCGTATTTATCAAACTGCTAGAAGTATAATTTGAACTTTGGAGTGAACTTTTACTCCTATCGCAAACTTAACAATCAAAGCTATTCGTCAAATGTCTTTGGAATGCTTTTAAATTCAAGAGAGCTCCAGCAGAGTAGAGTAGATCCTAGATGGCTGCAGAGGAGATATGATAACACATCTTCTGAGACCTTTTTTCTGGCTTGCAACCCTTCAGATGCAGAAAAAACACAAAATGTTTTAGCAATCATTAACAATGACAGGGTAACCAAAACTAATCAAGAATCCACATTGCATTTTAGCGAATTGAAGGTCAGCACAGTGGCATCAGCAAGCTCTGGTTGGTTTATTTTCCCTGCAGCTCAACCTTCTAATTTCCAGGGTCATAGTTGAAGTGTATTGAAAGTATCAAGTTAAAAATGACCCATGTCATAAAACAACTCCTCTCTAGCAAAGTCTCAACAAACTAGCACCTATTACCCATCATGATACTAAAATATCATTTAAACAAGTAGCCTCTGTTTTATTTGTGTCACCCTGTGAGTGCAAGAGCAAGTGATCCATCTGCTGATCATCCTTATTTGGGAATACATGCTTGACACTATAATCCAGGGTGACGTCATGGTAGTAACATACTATATAACTGAGCGCAAAGACAGCACAGAGACTGGAGCTCAATTACGGCTGGCCTAGTTTAGCAGGAGGTGAACACTCACATGGCTTGAGGTAGAACTGATTTAGCATATTATAAAATTCTTAAAATTAGTTTTAATGTCATCTTCTCCTGGTTTTAACAGCTACACTAAGTGGTGCAATTTTCTGAAATTGCCTGATCCAGTTAAGTGAAATGAGTTGATTTCAGACAGGAACTGTAATCCAGGAACGCTCTGCCAATTTTACCAGTTGTTACCATGTTTGAAAGGACGCACTGGCAATCTGCCAATATAGGACTATAGGGAGAGTAACAAGAGTCTGTAACATCTTTTACATCTTCTGCTCATGTGTGAAGAAAAGCAGTCACACTTTTAGTGAGCACATAGAAGATTAAAAAGTACACATACAGTAATTCATACATTTTCAAGTTTTTCACAGTAGTGTATTAAGAGGCAGTGATTCAAAAGTCTGGGGGTGGTTTGACACTTGTTTGAAGACACCAGCGGGTTAATGTGAGCGTGGGTATTATGTTCAAAGTGTCAGTGCAACTTTCCAACGTGTGAATGTGTGTAGCAGTGGGACTATCCTTGTTTATTGAGACGGAAGTGGGGGTGGTCAACACAGTGAGCCCACACTTCCACAAAAGGAGAAAATGCCGCAATGTTGAAACAAACTTTTCCCTTTCTGTCACATCGGATCACGTATCCCGTTTCCCTCACCACACACACACACACACACACACACACACACACACACACACACACACACACACACACACACACACACACACACAGAAATGCATGACACAGGCTGTCGTAGACAGGAATGATACCCTCAAAAAAAGAAAAACAAAACAAAAAAATTCTGGGAATGTTGGGTGCTAGCCAAAGCCTTCAATAAGGTAGAAAGAAACGGTCAAAATACATCAAAGCTCTACTCACAAGCAGCGCTCTGAACAGATCCTAATGAAAACAAACAGTACAACACTGGTTATGCAGTACTGTAGACTAGGGCTGCACAATATTGGAAAAAAATCATTTCTGCAATATATATAAAAACAGAAGAAATTAGATAGAGATCAGATACATGCAGTGTGTTCTTCATATACAGATATACAATTATCATTTCATTCGGGTAGTTAAAAATTCTATCCTCAAAACCACCCTCCTTCTACCGCACTTGGTTCAGCTCTGTTTACAGACAAGTGATACAGACTGCAGGCCTGCAAGGGGTGCACTTGATCAGTTTATCAAACAACATCAAAAACAGGCAATGCTTTTCAGGTAGTGGTAGGCGGCTAGTGGGGCCTGCTTTGGTTTGATAAATTGATGAAATCCACCCGTCCACCACAGCACACTGGGAACTGATCAAACTGTCTGTTTCCAAGAACCCTTAATTTCGCCTGAATTATGTAATATCAGACAGACCTTTCCTGTAGATTACTCATGGAAAATCAAAACTGTGCAAATTTTACTGACTTACTCAGTAGCAAAAGTGTTTTAGCGTTATTTTTCTTGGTTGACCAGGCACGTCTTGCAACGTGACCATTGCACTTGAACACAGTGTAAGGTCAATGCTGGAATTATATATTGTGCAACCCTACCATTATGAATTAGTAACTACAGCCCAATCAGAGCTGGAACTAGAGCCCTTAAGCAGTCAAGCAACTTCTTAATATGATAACCCTAACCTGACCAGTAATGTCAACTTGCTCTATCCTTTGACCCTGTCAGTACTGGCTGCCCTTTGACCTCAAAGCTAAATAGCCCTCTCCCAAAATATCTGCGAGCAGATCACCTGGGCACAAACTAACAGGTCTTCACAAGAACGATCAATAACCCTCTGGGTTCCAAAGTGCACTCGGCGGATCACTACTGGCCTTTGAGGAGATTCCTTGGAAAAACAAACCACACCAGAAATAGTTTCATCATTCTGTAAAAGTTAAACAGTACAATTTAAAAAGGTTATCTCAACCAATTATTTAGAAGCGATAATCAACAACAATACAAAATCTTAATTTAAATCATCCATTGTCTTGCAGCGCATGCATACAATGGTATGTGGCCTTACAATTACTACGCATTCCCTTACGACATTGCTGCAATGGTTAATCAGCCAGACATCACTATAGAGAAGAACCTCCCGCAGTACAGTAAGTCATTCCCACAAGCTTAAGGCTTCCAATTCCAAATAAGTACTTAAAGTGGTCTTGTGAACTTTATAATAACCTTGCTATCATTACTGAAAAGAAGAGCCAAGCATAAAGAACTATAGTGACAAATTTTAAGTATCTAAGGAGGCATTTAACACAAACATGAAGACTTTGGCTTTTGAATTTGAGACTGGAGTAGGGAAGAGGTGGATTGGATTATGTCAGGACAGAAATGCACAGTTGCTCACCATACATCTTCCCCTCATCTGAAAGTATGATCTTCCTCCTGCCGCAGGGAGGGTATATGGCCAGAGCTTCCTGAAAGCTTTGCTCAATGTCTGGACTCCACACTCCCTCAGGGTCGCCATCCAATCCACGGTCCGCCCCGTCTGCCAGGCCTTCTCCATCGGCACCCTCCTCCTGCGCCCCGTCAGGGCTGCCACGGCAACTCCACTCCGACGCAATGATGACGGCTCCGGCCACAACACACCTAGGAGGCACAAGATGGGCATTGTAAAGAATTCAGTTTGCTATGCCTGAACTTCCTGTTCTGGAATAGTAGGCAGTTTACAATGATAACAGTAGCAGATTTAATACTCAACATTTTTAAAATAATGGTTCCTTTATTTCAAAAAGAGGTAGACGAAGAAAGCCTTCTCATTTAGCTGTTGACCGTTTTTTTGGACAACTGAAATGACAACGTTACAAGAGACGACGAGGATAAGGAGTTAACGCTATCTCGGTTAACATAGTTGGAGTGCAAATTTCACCAAATTCAATAATGATCGGGACAGAGCTGCTAATGTTAGTCAAATCTCTATAGACTCTAAAGATGGGACAGGATGCAACACTAGCTCATGAACATCTGTCACATCGATAGTCCCTCTGATTGGTTATTACCTGCAGTAATAAATCAATAATCATCAAGGTAAATTCCATTAAAATAGAAACAATACAAATAGCAATGCTCGTCATGACCCAGGTTTCACGCTGGATTTTCTTCCACATTAAAAAAGCATTACACCACAATATCTACCACAGTGTACGAGCAGAGAGCAGTATTTGTTTTGATAGCTGATGAATTGACACAAAAAGGCATCGCAATCAGCGAGGTTTAAAGAAATTAATGTAGCCGTCTCCTCTATGTTTTGAAAACACAGCGCAGCTTTAAATCATCTATTAAAGCAACATATACAAACCCTAAAGTGTATAGTCTGTGCACAGGTAACAATAAACAAAAGACATTTTTGTGGTTACAGATATTTCACCTCACCAGTGCACACCACTGCACAATAATAGCAGCCTAGATGTGTATTTTGTTTCTTGAATTGGTTAGCAAGGAAAGAATATGATCACCCTTCATCTGATTATGAAACAAACAACATGTTTCATTGTTATCCATGTGAAAATCTCTTCTCCATCTTAAAACCGACGGGCATTTCAAGCATTTTGTAAGCAGCATACATAAAAATCCTTCTTTTATGCTATGTTGGAGTGAGAGAAGTGGAGACACTCTAAGCAGCACAGAGCATGGAAGGAGGCCAACGAAAGCCTTGAAAATGCTGTTATCAGCACTGAACCACACATGTGATTATGCAATGAGATGCAGATTTAAAAGTACGAGAAAAAGGCAAAATATTAGAACCTGGAGTATTCAAGGCTAATTCTCAAGTATCTTAATCTAATGTGCTAGTGGAGAGAGAGACAAAATTCCCAATCTCTGTTTCCACTATCCAGCTTCTCAAATGTGACTAAGGGGCGCTTTTCAAAAACCAGAAAATATTATTGAATCCCACCGAAGTTCTTAATTTGTACTTGCTCACAAAAATCAAATCAAATCTGTGAGTCAACAAGTTTAAGAAAAGGTCAAGAAAATCTAAAGACTGGCTCTGCGCTTAGCTAATCTACATCACCGACATTGTGACGTATGGACGGGACCAGGATTAACTCGCGGCTGCCGAGAACGGTGACAGATGTCTTGGACTCCAAATGTCTTAGACTCCAAATGTCTCCACACTTCACCAAGAGCAAGATCAGATTCATCTGAAGTTGTTTACAGGGGGTATTAATAGCCCTGGTATTCAGGGTTAAATATCTGACAGGAAAAACGGCAAAATATTAAGCTTGCAAATGTATAAAGACGCTGACCATTGGCCAAGGTCAACGACGACACCACCAGTTGGTCTAGCTATTAAGGTTACACCCGTGGATGCAAGATGACAAATTGACCAGTCATTTTCCTTTGCTAATCATCCTAGAAAAGCTAGTTTAAAAGGCAGTACTTGAGCCATATGAACTTCCCAGAAGCCTGCAACTTTGCCTGCATAGGCCACATGAGGAAATTACACATTCTTTTGTTATTGTTGAGGATGCTCCAAGTCTCCTCAAACACAGGCACACATATGCAACATGAATGCTGCCTGGTGTGTAATGTTTTCCAGAGTGTGGCTAACATGGTCCCTGCCACATACGAACCACAGAGGATCAGTGTGGTCGCAGAGCTTTTCCTGCTGTGGTGGGCTTATTGGACACACTCTGCAGAGGGCCTTCCCAGTTTCAATCACTGCTGACGGGACTGTGCTGTTGCCATAGAGATCAGACAGGCCCTGGTGAGATGGTTAGGAAAGAGCAAAGCCTAAAAGAACAAGGGAGGGAGATACGACTGTCTTGAGAGTTTTACTGTGTGAGAAGTCAGCAACTGGGAAGATGTTTGTTTGTCCTGGCTGGTTTTTATTAACCTTAATGTTCTTTCTTTCTAAGGTTGTGTAGACACCCTGGGCCCTTTTACCAGCTCCAAGAAACGTACAAAGAATAGTTTTATCACCTTGATACTTCAAGACATTTCCTAGTTATATTAGAATATCTTACAAAACAGTTGTATAGACCTCTCTTGGGTATAACTAACCCCAAACATTAGTAACATCACTATATACAGTACAGTAGTTCCTGGGGTTAAATCTGAGGGGATCATGAGTTGATTAAATTATGTGGATAACTTTTTTCTTGAAATACTTGATACTTTCACCTATTCAGGCCGATAAAAGCCTTCAAATAAAACAATCGGATACAGAAATATACCACTTTGGTTGAACTACTTGGATCACACACATCGCTCAATCCTACAGGGTCACAAAATAAAAGCTGGGAACCGCTGCTATAGACAATAACTGTACTTTGTCTGTGAATGTTTTTTTTTTTGGCAAAACAATGTAAATTTGTTCACGCAAAATCCAATATGTCCTGACACGGAGTAATAACAATACATCATTACAATAATTTCCATATTTCATCACTCTAATCAACTCTCGGTTTGTGGTAAACACATGGCACGTACAACAGTTGGGTCTGTGGGACACCAAACAATGAGCAAGTAAAGTCAGTGTCAAAGCCAATACAACAGCTCAGCCATAAATTCTACCTTTACAAAAGGATAATGATGTTCTGTTTAGACTGACACTATTAGCTACGTATTAATTTACCTACACATTTATTACTGAGGTAGTAGTTTGCAGCGGTGTTAAAATGGATTGCATTATATCAAGGTGTTTATAACGTTTTGCCCAACCCATTTATAAATACTAAGTACGGCGTCAATAATACGTTGAATTAACACCACTCAAAAACTCTAAAACTGAACACTTTCAACTTTATAAACGTAGAATCTGCGACAGATCTGTTGTCTTTGATTGCAGTATAAAGTAACACATAAAGCGGGAAGGTTACCTGTAAACAATTTTGGCTTAGATTTGGACAATGCAGCTTTGTCATTTGCCAGTGTGGTGGTGATGCAAAGTTAGGACATTATGCACTAATGGCTCGCCAGTTTCAATATAGCTCCCAGTGGCCAAAAGGTCAGGTGTTTAGTGCAGTGAGGAGCCATTGAGCTAAATAAAGCTATGAGCTCAGCAAACACTGACAAGACACATGCACATTACGGGCTGCCTTCTGCTCCAATGGGAACAGTAGTGACAATATGGTCAACCAAGCTAGATTTCATCACAGTACTTTCAGATTTCCACGGCCACTTCAGCCGACTACTACTACTATTACTACAGTTACTACCAGTTTCTAAGTTACCATCCTACAGACCTTTTTAGAAACAGATAAATTGATCCGGCTTCAAGCACTCCAATGAACTTCTCTGAACCCTTTAAAAAAAAAAAAAAAAAAAAAAAAGGTCACATCTTACACCAATTTCTGTCAGGAAAGCTGTGCTGGAGACTAACAAAAGGTCTTATTTCTCCTCTTGACTTCTGTCGAACCAGTAAAACCAGTCTTTCACAGTACCGAGAAATGAATCCCATCTTGCTAGCATGTTAGAGGGGGGGGAAATGAAATCACGTTCAACGGTTGGAAGCCGTTTAGCCAACTGTGAGTTGGCAAAATCCGCCTTTGATCCAAAGTAAGGGGGGGAAACCGACACGAAACTGGGCCTAGAAGTTGTTAAAACACTGTACGACCACTTAAAAGTCTACGAAGAAGTGTTATTTACTCGATTTAAGCGGATGTAGTCCAGACAAGCCACTGATAACACACTCGAGCTGGCATGCTAGTTTGTTAGCTCGCCGTGCTAATAATACCTCAACAAACTCCACACTAAAAGTCCGAGAGACCTGAAAAGTATTTGCAATTACAGTACGACAAGGGGGCTAGGGGGGGTTGAGTGAATTACAGAGAAAACTCCCTGATAAACACACGAGGCTCTGAATCAGCAAAGCAGCGGCGGGGAAAATGCGAAATATGTCAAATATCCCAAAACTTTCAAGCACACACGAAGCGGAGCAGATGCTGCAGCATGAAAGTTGCAGCACACAACAAAGAAGTATCTGAGAGCGCACTCACCTCACAATGGCTTTCCTGCCCCGCTGTTACAGCCACACACTCCTCTTCTTGGAGACTTTGCTTTTCTACGGCAGGGTTGCTTTGGGAATCGCGGGTGTTTCCTCGGCAAAAATAAAAATAAAAAAACGATAGAGTTTGACAGGGGGGGGGAGAAAAAAAGGCGGAATGCCAAGTATGAGTTTTTGGTATGGGATCAACGCCGCGCGGAGGAAAACGCACAGAGGCGTGGCGTCGAAAACACGCGCACACGCAAAAGTTTTGTGGGTCCCAAAGCAAACTCCTCCCACGACATAGGACTGCTTTGGTGGGAGAGAGAGAGGAGGGAAAAAAAGGGGGGGGCTCCTGTTGATGTTATTGTTCTCTTTCACAAAATATAAACTAGATACTGTGTCTGTAGAGATTAGGGGGAGTTCTGCTCCTGTAACATGTCCTGTTCTAGTGATCCTTAATGACCCCCCCCCCCCCCCGCTCCTCTAATATTCAGCTTTTACTACATACATTGACTGATAGTGGCTCTCTGGCGGTGCTGGAAGAACTGTTCAAATCATTGGTTTAGGTTAAGTTAGTTAAATAATAGTATTATCAGTTAAAGGCGACTTAAAGTATCAAAAGTAAAAGTACTCATTGTGCAGAAATTGAATTAAATATAGACTGTACAATTGGATAATATTACATAATTCTGTAATTTGTCTACATGTGACCAATTTTAAGTACTTTATACACAACTGTAGTGTAATAGTGAAGCACTTCCTTTGTTTTAAAGGGTCACCTGTAGCCACTCAGAAAGGTGAATCACCTATAACCAACTGTGAACTATATTTAATGAAAAATATTCTTATGTTGCAGAAACCATTACCAGTTGGGACCAGTGGACAACTGGTTTTATGCTTACTACTTTTTTCTTTTTTTCTTTTTTTTTTTTTACTAATTTAAGAGGAAATGTGTTTGGAAACATGTGCCACTCAAACACAGTATCAACTGACATGATAAGGGTGGGTATGCTTTGTTTCCTGATCATAGGGCCCCGTCTTAAAGAGCTGGTTACAAGTGGCCATACACACACAGCAGGAGGTATTCAATGGGAAATTACAATTACAAAAATTAATGATTATTATTTTCACAACTCCAATATTTCCTGCTCTAATGATGTATCCACATCCTTCGCAGAAGAAGAAACATCTACAGTGTTTACATTTTATTAATTTATATTTATTTAATTTTCTTAGTTATGTTATTTTCTTACTTTCTGTGACGACGTCCCCTCTTATGATGTCACATATCACTGACACAAGATTGTGCAACTATACAATTCATAGTGACGTACCGGGACCCTGGGGGAGAGGGCTATTAAAGCTGCTCATAGATTCAAATAGGCTTAGGTCAGCCATGGTTAATGATTTACATCACCTACAGTATTATTCTACCATACTGACAAGGTGAGTGTAATTAGAGGAAAAGGCCCTGCTTATGCAGCTGTCGCGTAACAGTGATTCTATTGTAAAAGGAGATGTAATGGCTTCTGAACGCAATGTCACGAGACTGACAAAGAGACTTAAACCCTCTTATTCTCAACATGCCCCTCGACTGCTGACAATAAGCTCCTGTTTAATGGTACAGATTAAAGGCTGACATTGAATCCCGCAGGACTCCCGGTTACACCTATTGCCAGCAGTTGTCAGATCAATACTTGTCAGTGAGGTCTGATGGAAAACTCCCAACAATGTCACAAAACTGGTTGGAAAAATGTCGCTTGACATCCTTTTGGGCTGATAGTGTCCCTGCATATGGCCACTGGAGGGCAGTCTTACCATAACCATGGGCATTTCAGGGGCCTAGTAGGCCACAGTTGGCATGGTGCTGATTTATGACAACAAGCACATTTTTTTTCGTAAGTGAGTCTGTGAGTTCATGAGAGTTGCTCGGAACACAAAGGTAAATTATGTTGATAATAATGTCTTACTTGTACAGACAGAAGATGAAATATACAGTAGATCACAAATTGCCTAACATCAGTTGGATTTCCCTGGTTTCTTTTTGACATGTACAAACATGTCTTAATCTCAACCTGCCTATACAAAGTTCTTGCTCCTCCCCAGTGAGGTCTATGGCCTCAGTGGAGATCAGGTAGTTAGAGGTAATTCATTTTCTTTCACAGCTTCTAGAAAGAGTAAAGGAGGGAGGGATTTTTAAATTCAATACCTGTCAGAAATAATACATCTTGGCATTGGCATGAATTTTAAAGAGGCCAACTCCCTGCTTTTTATCATTGTCCTGTTCAAATATAGAAAGTACATGGGAAGTAAGTCTCAATCTATCTCTCTTATCCTTCTAGTACTTTCCACCTCTGTCTCACTCACTCGGGAACTGTCTGGAGGGCAGACTCATAAGGATTATTAATTCCATTCTCCAGAGTGGTTAAGCTGCTCTTCACACTGGAAAAAAAGAAATTGCATGGTCATACCAGTGCTCCCTCCCTTTTCCATTCGTCTTTGTCATCACCTTTGCATGACTTTATTATATTGATAATCAGAACTTGATATGATATAATACAATGGAACCATGATTATCTAAAGCTCACACATATAACTGCACTCGTTTGCAGTGTAAAGAGAATAACTGACCATCAAATCTTAACCCAGTACCTCTTGATGTTTCTTCTGCTAATCTTTACTTGGCTTATCTCCTATGTCTTATTTAGCCTACATCCTTCATGGACAACTGTTTTCTTTTCTCTTTATAGATAATAAATAAATATATATATACAATAACATAAATAAATAAATATAGTTTGCATTTTATATTAGATAATTTTGCACACTTAAGAGGAAATCTGGAGGAATACAAAAACAGCATGTGAAAAAAAAAGTGGGGTTACAGATCTTTTTCACAGCAGCCATTTTGACATGTAATAGTAGGGTAAACACTGGTGTTACCAATTACACTAATTAAGGTTCTGTTCCATTCAGGGCAAACAGAGTCAGGGTGCTGTTATTGTGCATGGTGGCTCACTGGAAAGGCCCTGCAACACTAAATGGTAAAGAAAGCCTTAATTATCATCATTGGTAACACCTGTGATTGTCCTACTATTTAATGTCAAAATGACTGCTGCGAAAAGGTCTATTCTTCAAGCATTCCCCTCTTTCAGGTAAAAAAAAAAAAAAAAAGAAAATGCACTTACACAGGCTTGCCACTAGATGGGGCACCTCATCTTCCTCGAGTGAAACCCGCACAAGATGGAAGTTTACAGAGCCAGTGACAGTGGACTAATCAATAATGAATTTTATTTAGGTCAGGCCCTTTTATCTGACGATTACTGACCTCTGTTGGTGAACAAGGAGCTGCATTTATGTATCGAAACATGTAGGACTACAAGCCAAAAAACAAATAAAAGTGTTTTGGAAGTCACATTTCTCAGCAGCTATCACAGTAGACACATTTATTAGGCTCAGTTAAATATATGCCAATCTTTAAATGCAAAATTATTCCTTTTTCAGGTAGGTCCAGACCCAGATTTGATCTCACACTGTTACTGGTGACCGCTTTAATGTCCAGGAGCCAATCAGAGCAAAAAACGGCATTAATCCACCTGTTGATATGTGTATGTAAGTGTGTATGGAGCCATTTTTAACTCCTTCAGGTCCTGGCAACGCCTCTCAACCAGGTGAGCATGAACTGTTTAGCTCTAGTGTGGGAATTATCAAAAGGTATTTTTTTCTTGTTTGGTTTTGCATTTTTAAAAGTACAAACGTTTTTTTTTTGTGAAGTTGGTAAAAGTCTGGTAAAACTATTTAAAAAGGTCAATCTATTTGCTTTTAGCCAGTAGCTGTCAGCTAGTCGAATCAATTGGAGAAGATTTTTTGTTGGGTCGGATTATTGTGTGTCAGGATCATTCGTGAATAAGCCTTATTTCTTTAATTACCACATCAGTAAGCTATTTTTGTCCTGAGCTAATGTTAGGTAGTAAACAAATAATAATAATAGACATATATAATGATATAATAATAATGATAATGGGCCTCTCACACGTGACTTCACACTTGACGTACTGTATTAACATTACTTGATCCACTGTAGGAATAAATGAGCAAATGTTATATTTAAATGTCTTCTTAAACAAACAAAAGCGACATTTGCATCAACATATGTTACAATATATTAATTTATTTCCCCCAGAAATGAATACTTTAGAAAATCGTTGGAATTAATAATCGTATGTATTCAGTTACTCAATAACTTAATGCACATATACTTATAAGGCGATATGTTTCATTATTGGACATTATAAATAAGTTATTCAACCACTGACAATGCGTTAGTAAAGGATTTAAACCCAATCATGTGGAATGCATATACAGCATTTTAGCTCCTAAATTAAAATGTGGACATATTTGCTGATAGTTATTTAAGAATGTCTAAGAAATGTGATAAGAAACAGCTGTGGAAATGTCTTCAAACAAAAGGTAGTTTAAGTAATTAGTGTAATTAGGCTCATTAACAGGGCATAATAAGCGAATTACAACTACAGTTTATAGACAATAATTATAAAATGATTTAGGCTACTTTTTCTGAAAAACTACTGCAACATTACAGTGTTAAAACCCCTGTGCACCAAGCTGAGGTAAGTAAATAAGTAACAATGATCCTCAGTATGTGTGTTCACGTGTGTGTGTACCTATTCAGTGAAACAGAAGGCCTGCTTAGTTTTATGATTTTAAATAATGTCAATATTTGCCTTTTTAAATGTTCTCCTGTGCATGTGTACGTCTGTCTGCACATATAAGCAACGGAGCTGCCAATATTATTTATACCAGGAGAAATAACAAAGTGAGAGTGTCCCTGTGTGAACTGGGTGTAACACACTGTTATCAGATTCAGCTGTCACACTCAGTTAAAGGCAGACTAACATCACAGCTGTGGCACAGGCAGCCTTTTGAAACTCTGCATGGTGTTTCCTGCAATGATTAGCTTGCATTTGACACGAGATCTGCTCTATAATGCTTCACTGTTGCATGTTATAAATGGTGAAGGAATGTCACAAACCGCTCTCTTCCTGTGTGCGCATGTTAGTATGAAATAAAAAACGGCCGCTGTGCATTCAGAGTACATCTGCCTCTGTACAGTACAGTCTAGCTGTGACTATATTTGTCCTCCCCTCCTTCTCTCTCTCTTGCAAGGGGACAGGAGAGTTGGACGGCTGCCAAAAGAGGCCGGCCCGCCATGCAGCTGAAACTTTTACAAGCCAAGCAGGAAGAGACACAGGGAGCGATCGAAGAAGAAAAGGAGGAAAAGAAAAAGTGAGAGAGACATCTAAGCTCCTTTCTTTCCATCTCCCTGTCTCTCTCCTCTCTGTGTCTGTCTGTCTCTCTTTCTTTTCTTATTCCTTGTTAAAGCCATACTGTATTTGCCCGCCTTCATTGGCAGGGGGTAAGTGTAAGGCTGGAGGACAGGACGGGAGGGGTGGGGGTGAGGAGAGGGGGGTACTTTGGGTTCAGAGAGTTCAGCTGAGGAGAGAAATAAATGCATAAACAACAAAGGAGACGTGACGTCAGGTTGAGGGGCTGTCCAACCTGCTGGCTGAATATGAGCCTCCATGGAAGAACCGGATTGTTCGCACCACGTGTGTGTGTGTGTGTGCGCCTCTGTACAGTATGAATGTGTGTGTGTCCATTGTCCTATCTTCGAGAAAAGACTCATGTGGAGTTTAAGCAGAGAAGCTGGACTATTGTGGTCTGTTTTGTCTTCGCGGTGAGTGTTAGAGGACTGGAGAACCCTCCTGTGTGTGAGTGTGTTTGGGCAGTTTGGGGACTCAGTAACTCAGGTATTACAGCAGCTGGAATTAACTGTGTCACCTACAAAAGACACAACAAGCTTTGTTTGTTATCTTGTGGTTGATGTGAGTTTTTAAAATGAGAGAAAGAAGTAGTTGTTTGCAATTTAATGATTAGAAGTATTACAGTTTTTTAAAATTACATACATTTCAAAATGATGTCAGCTCAGAAGTGACCTCTGATTGGTTGGCTCGGCTTGGGATACCCGCTCAAATGCCAGCGATTGGTCCGCACGCAGGCTATAGAAGAAGGTCCGACATTTATGAACAGATGGATTTATGTTCTCTCTCCTAATGATTGAGGTCATCTAGAGGCGACATCTCACTGATCCAAGATCTGCATTGGTGTTCAACTGTCCTGCTGGTGTGAGAAAGCAAAGGGAGACCTGGGAAAGATGCCAAAGACTGGGGAGGAAAAAAAAGTGACATTCTCTGAAATATCCACCCTCCTCGCTCATTGATTCATTTAGCTGAACTCCCTCAAACCCCTCCCACTTAGGAGGGCAGATATTATCCCCGATGGAGGGAGAGGACAAATTTACGGAAGGATAAAGGGAGACGCAGAGAAAAGCAGGCAGAATAAAGATGTCGAAAAAGACAGTAACCCTCCCTGGACTCAAGAGAACTTGACTTTATGTCCAGCCGTTTAGAGTTCGAATCTCAAGCCAGTTTTGATCTATAGTTAATATGGTGAGGTGGAACAATATGGCAGAAGTGTCGGGATTTGCTTGTCTCTTTCGCCATCTGTCTGTTGCTGCAGGATAGTATATAAGTACAGTACAAGGTGAGAGGTGTGTTTTGGATGTTAGATGATTAACATACAAATTCTCAGCATTCTTCCAGCTGCTGTCCCACTGTTTTGTGTCACTGTCTGCTCACGACAGTTTACGCTTCTCTTTCTTTTTCCTGTCTTTCTGTGTCTCACTCTCTTTCTTAACTCTTTTTCTCTGACCCCTCCTCTTTCTGTTCGCCCTCTCTCGCTACAGCATG